GCCTTCTCATACACAAAGCACCAGTCAATAATGTTCTGAGCCTCATCAGAAATGCTGAGCCAGAACCACCCTGATGAGCTTCCCTGCATCCCTAACTTACAGAAACTGTGAGATAGTGTTTATTGCTTTTAGTCACTAAGTTTTGGGTAATTTGTTATGCAGCAATATAACTAATACAGAAGGCAAAATAAAGTCATTTTCAGGTTGATAAAAAGTGCCACAAGCAGACCTATAGTAAAGAAAATGCAAACAAATTTTTCATGTAGAAGGAAAATGAAACCAGATTGTAAGAGATAGAGAAGGAATGAAAAACAAGTAAAGTGATAAATGTGTGTATATATCTAATGTTTCATTGGGTTTTAAAATATACCACAAGAATAAAATCTAAATAAGTGGAGAGATATATCAGAATTATGAATTGGAAGATTCAATTCTGTTAAATGTTAGTTCTTCCCAAATTGATCTATAGATTCAATACATTCCAATTAAAAGCCCAGCAACATATTTTTCTAGAAATTGTCAAATGATAAAATTTGTATCAAAAAGCAATAGCTTAAAATAGTGAAAACAATTTTGTAGAACACATTTGGCCTTGGCCGAATGCTTAGTTAGTTGGAACCTTGACCCGACACACAAAGGTTGCAGGTTTGATCCCCAGTCAGGACACATACAAGAATCAACCAATAAATGCATAAATAAGTGGAACAATAAATCTCTCTTTATTTCTCTCAAAATCAATTTTTAAAAATATATTTTTATTGATTTCATAGAGGAAGGGAGAGGGAGAAACATCAATGATGAGAGAGAATCATTGATTGGTTGCTTCCTGCACGCCCATACTGGAGATCGAGCCCACAACCTGGGCAGGTACCCTGACAGGAATTAACTGTGACCTCCTGGACCTCTTGGTTCATAGGTTAATCAATGCTCAACCATTGAGTCACAATGGCCGGGCTCAAAACCAATTTTTAAAAATTAAAAACGAAAGAAAAAGAGGGAGGAGGGAGGGATGAAGGGAGGGAGGGAGGGAGGGAGGAAAGAAAAAAGATTTTTTTTAAAAAGCCCAGACGGTGTGGCTCAGGTCACGGTTCGATTGCCAGTCAGGGCACATGCCTGGGTTGTGGGCTTGATCCCAAATGTGGGGCATGCAGGAGGCAGCTGATCAATGATTCTCTCTCATCATTAATGTGTCTATCTCTCTCTCCCTTCCTCTGTGAAATCAATAAATATGCTTTTTTTAAAAAGTAAATAAGAATCTCAACCTATGTTGGGAGACAATTCTCCATGGGTTTCTCATGCATCTTCACATCTCAAGAGTTAGACATGAAACCAGATTGTAGGAGATAGAGAAGGGATGAAAAACAAGTAAAGTGATAAAAGTGTGTATAAGTCTAATGTTTCATCGGATTTTAAAATATACTACAAAAATAAGATCTAAATAAGTGAAGAGATACATCAGAATTATGAATTGGAAGATTCAACTCCTTCTGTTCCAGACTGTCTTTTTAAGGATGTTTGTCCATGAAACAGTCTGGAGATAGTGTCTACCTTCAGAGCAAAAGGCTTTTTTTTTTTTTAACTGTTCAGATAAAAAGATAATGTATTGTTCTGTTTGCAGTCCTTTATAAAAGTCTGACGTTCCCTGAGCTTGGAGTTGCTGGGCTGTGGTCCAAACCCTCTCTGTGTGCCTGTTTGTACTTCATCCACCTGGGTCTCCTGGCACAGCCCCTGAGAGTCCTGGGGTCATGGGGAACCAATGCAAAAATGCAGCTCACAGCTGGCTGGGCTGCAATAAAGTTCTTTGTTTCCTTCTTAGGAGCCCTATGTCTCTTGTCAGCATCCAGTGAAGTTGTGGCAGGGCAACTTGTTAACTTGCAAGTAGGGTAAAATCTTATATCCTTTATTGCTCATGACAAACCATACCTTGCATTATATGCAAAAATTTACTTGAAATGAATCATAGACCTAAATGAAAAACCAAAAACTTCTAGAAGAAAACAGGAAATCTTTATGTCATTGGGTTAGACAAAGATTTCTTATATAGGACCAAAAGGCATGACTCATAAAAGAAAAACAAAAAACAAAAAACTGAATTTCATCAAAATAAAAACTTTGCTCTTCAAATGACACTTTGGGTTGTTAGGGCAGTAAGACTATTCTGTATGTAACTCTAATGGTGAATGCATGTCCTTATACATTTGTCAAAGCTCACAGGATGTACAACACCAAGAGTGAAAACTATGGTAAACTATGGACTTTGGATGATAATGATGTAACAAAATATACTGCACTGGTGGGAGAAGTTGATAGTGGAGGTGGCGATGTGTGTGTATAGGGGAGAACATATGGAAACTCTCAATATTTTTCACTCAATTTTGCTGCATAAAATTTCTCTAAAAATAAAGTCCATTTTTTAAAAAAATGGACAAGAGATATGCCCTGGCCAGTGTGGCTTACTTGGTTAAGCATTGTCCCCTGCACCAAGAGGTCACTGGTTCGATTCAGTGTCAGGGCACATGCCCAGGCTGCAGGCTCAATCCCTGATGGGGAGTGTGCTAGAGGCAGCCAATCAATTATTGCTGATCAATATTTCTCTCTTTCTCTCTCCCTTTCTCTTCCTCTCTCTCTAAAATCAATTAAAACAATTAAAAAAAAAAAAAAAAAAAGGGAGGGGGGCAAGAGAGCCTTAGCAGGTTTGGCTCAGTGGATGCAGTGTCAGCCTGAGGACTGAAGGGACCTGGGTTGGATTCCGGTCAAAGGCATGTGCCCACTAGGGGGCGTGCAGGAGGCAGCCAATCAATGATTCTCATCATTGATGTTTCTATCTCTCTCTCTCTCCCAACTTTCTGAAATCAATTCTTTATATATATATGAAGAATACACATTTGTGCACTTTTGGATTCTTTTTTTTTTTTTTTTTTTTTTTTTTTTTTTTTTTTACAGAGAGGAAGGGAGAGAGATAGAGAGCTAGAAACGTCGAAACAACGACCAGCTGCCTCTTGCACACCCCCTACTGGGGATGTGCCCACAACCCAGGTACATGCCCTTGACAGGAATCGAACCTGGGACCTTTCAGTTCGCAGACCGACGCTCTACCACTGAGCCAAACTGGTTTCGGCCACTTTTGGATTATTATAACCTACACACATGTCTGAGAATGTTTGTATATAGGTACGTATGTATGCATCTATCCCATCATTATCAAAGATGATGCTAAATAAGCTAGTTGCTGGATGACCCCTTAGCTTTTTCACGCCCCTGTGGCTGACATACATGGCTGTGTAGCCGCAGCTGCTGGTCACAGAGCCCAGGTTCCTGTTTGTGGGTCAGCCTTCCCACCTTAGAATCAGGCGACAAAGAATTTTATTCAGCAAACCCTTAGCAACGTTAAGTTTGGTCAGTCACAGGTGGAATTAATTACCTAGGTCCTTGACTCTGAGAATCTGGTGATGGGCCTGGGAATGCGGTTTTAACAAGCCCCTCAGAAGATGTGGTCTGCTCTCAGTTAGACTGGCCCGCTCTGGGCATCTATTCCCAATGGCTGTGGAGAAGCGGAGTCTGTCTTTGGCTTCACAGCCCTGCCCACCCTCTCCTTGTTCACAGGGTGAGAGCAGCATGCCTCCATATTGTTAACCGTAACTGAGATGTCACCGCAACTGGTGTTGGGTCTGCAGGGACAGTATACTCCTAAGACTGCCTGGTATTTCCATTCTGAATGCGGTTTCTGCCTGGGGGGTCGGGGAGGTATGCAGCTGATTTCTCATCAGAAGCAGCAGACAGCACATGGTTGGCTCTGCCCCTGGCCCCTGCTCACAACACAGGACCTTCACTGGAGCCCTTAATCCTGGATTCTAGGGCGGCTCTGTACCCTATCCCACATCTTCAAGGGGATGATGGGAAAGCCTATCGGGTCAATCATCTCTCAAGGCTGATGTTGGCTCAAGTCATTTCCCTGGTACTGTCTTGGAATGCTGTCAGGGGTGGGAAATTCCCGCTAGCAGCGAAGCTCTCCTATCTCTCAGGAGGTCTGCTGTGTGATCCTAGGGCAGACAGCGGAGTCATGCCAGCTCACCTGCTCATCTCCTCTGGACACATACATTCTGGCTCCTCCCAACATCTTTTGGAAACACGGGTGTCCCTATTTTGGTTAAACTCCTTCAGTGGCTCCCCATCCCTCTGAGGATCTAGACCACAGCCTCTCCCGTGGCGTGCAGTCCTTGTGGGTCTCTGTGGCCGGACCTTGCCACGCAGCTCTGGCTGTTCCCTCACCAGGCCAGGCTCTCTGCTGCCACGGCCGGCTCCTCCTTACGCAGCTGACGCCCGCTCCTCTCCCAGCGTCCAGCACCACTTCCTTGACCCCCCAGGTCTGCATCAGGCCCTTGCTCATTCACACTCCTAGCACTCTGGACCTCTTCCTTACTGAAGTGTGTCACCGTTGGAAATGTTCACTGGAACCATTAGGCATGTCGCCAATGGCTCCCTCGGTAGGTGATAAAGTTCATGAAAGCAGGGCTCTGGGTGTGCTCTCATTGCAAAGGGCCTGGCAGGCCGTTCACCGGATGGAGGAAGGCGGGTCACCCCCCAGCCGGGCGCGGCGTGGGGCCCCCCGGGAATCACAGACGGAGCCGGAGCAGCTGCCCATACAAGTCCTCCCTCCGGGCTGAGGAAATGCGTCCGCGAGCCGCGCACCCAGGGAGCCCTCAGGGCAAGGACCCGGCCCACGGCCGGCCGGCATCCAGCCGCCGGAGGGAAAGCGACGCCTGATCTCTGTGCCTGGGGGCCTCCGGGTCCCTACCGGTTCCCCAAGGGGTCCGCCGAGAACCCTGGGCGGCGGGACCCGAGTTGCGGGGCCGCTGAAGCCGCCGCGCCCGGCGAGGGCGCTCCAGGCCGGGCTTCCGGCGCAGGCGCGCGCCGCGCGGGCCCCTCTAGCCGCCGGGGCGCGGCGCGGTGCGTGTCGGGAAGGCGGCGGGCGGGGCTGGCCCTCGGCGGCGGCGGGCGCCATGGTGGGTGGTGATGCCGCCTCAGCGGTGGAGGAGCTGGTGTCCGGGGTACGGCAGGCGACCGACTTCGCCGAGCAGTTCCGCTCCTACTCGGAGAGCGAGAAGCAATGGAAGGCCCGCATGGAGTTCATCCTGCGCCACCTGCCCGACTACCGCGACCCGCCGGACGGCGGCGGCCGCCTGGACCAGCTGCTGTCCCTCTCCATGGTCTGGGCCAACCACCTCTTCCTGGGTTGCAGGTGCGGTCCCCTGCCGGCTGGATGGCCCCGTCCCCGGCCTTCCGACCCGCAGCTCTGGCCCAGGCTGACCCCGCCCCCAACCTCCAGCCGCACTGGCCGGGCCTACGTCTGTCCGATTCCCACCCTTGGCCTTGGAAAGATATGTATGGCCTCTCTGGGCCTCAGTTTCTTCATTTGGAAAATGAGTTGTGAAGATGACAGTATTGGCCCTAACCGGTTTGGCTCGGTGGATAGAGCGTTTGCCTGCAGACTGACGGGTCCCAGGTTGGATTCCGGTCAAGGGCATGTACCTTGGTTGCAGGCACATCCCCAGTAGGGGGCGTGCAGGAGGCAGCTGATTGATATTTCTCTCTATTGATGTTTCTTACTCTCCCTTTCCTTTCCTCTGTGTAAAAAATCAATAAAATATATATATAGTTTTAAAAAGATTACAATATTGAAGGGTGAAAAGCACTTAGCACACAGGCTGCCATCTAGCAAGAGCTCAATACATGCTGGACTGTAACATTGCCATTGTTGTTTGTAGTGCTAGTATTAGCTCCAACCATCACCTTTGCAGAGTGCATTTCAAGTCCATTAGCTCCTTTCACACACATGGCAAATGCAGAGACGAAAACTGAGGCCCCCAATTTACTTATGAAGAAGCTGAGAGAGGGGAGGTGACATACTTAGGGCCTTGCAGCTTCTGGCAGGATGTAATCTGTGGCCCTTTATCTTCCCACTTCCCGATCTGCTGGACCCCGAGCCAGATTGCCTTTCCTCTTATGAGAGGAAAGTCTTGCATCAGAATTCTTGCATTCCCCTCTCCCCAGCCATGAAGAAGGTGACAGATCTTGAGGCTCCATCTCCTTTTATTTTAGCGTTTCCTGAAATTATGTTACGATAAAATGACAGCTTACTCCTGGTTGCCTGACTCTTGTCACCTGGCCCTAAGCCACTTGATTTTGCCTTCAGATAGTGGGGGTTATTAGAACAAGATTCGGGGAAGCAAATCTTGCCAGTTACACCATCTCTTTTCTCTGCGTTCTAGTCGCCCCTGGGAAATCCTGGTTAACAGGATCCAAGATTCAGCAAATGTCAGCAAGTTGGATAAATGAACAAATAATTTTATTTTCATTAGACCAACATTCCCTGTGTTCAAAAACTACAAAGTTTTTGGCTCTCGTTCCATATCCATGAATGGTACTGCCAGATGCACAGTGCCTCTATTTTTGTAAATGTTTTGCTTGTTTTGTAAATTTGTTTTGAAATACCTGCTCTATTGGCATTCCTAGAGCCACTTCTGTATTCCCAACAGGAAGAACTGTTAACTAACTTGCTGCTGAACATGTATTGATTTCCCCTGTAGTATCAAATCAGTCCTTGGTGAATTGAGTTTACAGTCCCTTTACCTGCAGTTTCTTGTTAGCCCCATACTGACAAGCAATTTTTCCAAGGTTTTTAACCTTACTGCTTTTTATTGTGCAGTTACAACAAGGACCTTTTAGATAAGGTGATGGAAATGGCTGATGGGATTGAAGTGGAAGACCTGCCACAATTTACCACCAGAAGTGAGTTAATGAAAAAGGTAAACAGGCTTTCCAAGTGCATTTGAAATGGTATAGAGTTTATAGTGATGTATTAGAATATATACTGTTTTCTGAATGGGGTGAACCTTTTACTTCCTAACTGCTTGTGGCAGATTCTCTCCTGGCTTGTTGCTCCTAAGAGGTATTCTGCCCTCCCTAAGATCTTTCACATCAATTTTCTTTTGTAATATATTCTCCTCTACTGTATGGAGCTGTATTTTGTCATGCCAGGCTATTAGAGATCAGACCATTTCATAATATTTGGGTTGCAGCCCCCAGGAGAGACTAAGGAAGTTTTGTAATTGACACGCACGTTCCTAACATTACCCATAGACCAGAGTGAAGTGTGTGTGTGTGTGTGTGTGTGTGTGTGTGTGTGTGTGTGTGTTGGGAGGAAGGTCTCTCTAAACTGTTACACATTGTAAAGGAGCATCAAAAATGTAGGGAGCTGAGGCAGGTTTGGCTCAGTGGATAGAGCGTCAGCCTGCGGACTGAAAGGTCCCGGGTTCGATTCCAGTCAAGGGCATGTATCTTGGTTGCGGGCACATCCCCAGAAGGGTGTGTGCAAGAGGCAGCTGATCGATGATTCTCTCTCATCAATGTTTTAACTCTCTATCCCTCTCTCTTCCTCTCTGTAAAAAAATCAATAAAATATATATATTTTTAAAAATGTAGAGAGTGCTCTAACTGGTTTGGCTCAGTGGATAGAGCATCAGCCTGTGGACTGAAGGGTTCCAAGTTTGATTCTGGTCAATGTACCTTGGTTGTGAGCACATCCCCAGTAAGGGGTGTGCCAGAGGCAGCTGATCAATGTTTCTAACTCTCTCCCTTCCTCTCTCTGTAAAAAGCAATTATATATATATACACATACATATATATACACACACACATATATATGTATATATGTATGTATGTATATGTGTGTGTGTGTATATATATATATATTTTTTTAATTATTATTTTTTTTTTAATGTAGGGAGCTCTGTCCTGGGATGTCCATTTTTTAATGCTATCATTACACACTGTTAGCCTCTAGTTAATAGTTCTAGGGCATGAACCTGGCACCCTAAAAACCAGCTTTGCTATCAAACTAATCCTTAGCATCTTGCTACCTGGAAGAAGCCTGCAGGGAGCCTATACTTCTGTAGCGTTTTTTGGATTATGCGTATTTCAATTTCCTTCAATACTTGTTTTTCTTTTTCTAAATATTAAAATTTTTTGTTGATTTCAGAGAGGAGGGAGGGAGGGAGGGAGGGAGGGAGGGAGGGAGGGAGTGGGGGGAAGAGAGAGAGAGAAAAACAAACATCAGTGATGAGAATCATCAATAAGCTGCCTCCTCCTGCACGCTTCCTACTGGGGATGGAGCCTGCAACCCCGGCATGTGTGCAGAACAGACTTGCTGTTGAAGGCTGTCCCCTCTCCATTGAGGGCCACCTTGAGAGTCCACTGGAAAGAGCCTTCGGGGACTTTTTTCTCTTCCCTGAAGTGTTTGCATGTAATAGAGACTGGCAAACCTTAAGCAACATTGCCAGCCCAGAACAAAAGAAAACATTGATGTTGAGCCATGCACCTGAAAACATCTGTTGTAGTTCTGCCCACAATTGACCCCTACCTCTAAAATTAGAGTTTAGTTGAGTCTTAAAGCTAGCTAGCAGGTGGAAAGGAATAGCCTGGCATTGTTGATATCTTAGGACTTAGTAAAGATGACTTATGGACATAAGCTCTTTAAAGTAAGATTTTAAAAACTTATGTTCCTGACTTGGTTTTGCTCAATGGTAAGAGTGTCTGATACTGATGATACTTGTCAAACAGTTGCAATATATAATTTTTCTTTCGAAAGAGGGAGATTAAAACACAAATATATCGAGGGAGTAATCATCTAACAATCATCCCTAGGCACCTACTGGCAGCTTTGTGGTTGACCAGCTTTATCCATTCATAAGAAACAATTAACAAATGAGCAGCAGCTTACTCAGAAAGAGTATCATTACTATGACTGTCAGGATTAATATTTCCAAATGCATTGTCTTAAGGAGAAAGAGGAGTGATTGACTAGGAAGCTGTCATTATTGACTAAAAGAAAGAATTTGTCATTGTAATTACTTGTCCATTTCCCCTGAAAACATTTTTATCCATGAGGGAAAATGGCAGAATGAAAGTGAAAAAGAAGTTAGAAAAATGAGTGTATCTGCTTTTCAAGAGGTTCTTTTTTGTGTGCATTAAGTAGTCTTAGCAAGCTGTAGGGTAATGGAGCAGCTGATTGGTGGAAGGAGGGAGATATGATTCTAAGGTGGTGAGTATTTGTATGTGTGTGTGAATACACACACACACACACACACACACACACACACAATCTGTCAGATTAGTTAAATCAGTTTTGTCTTGCATCATCAAGAAAAATGCTCAGTGAAGCTACCTTTTCCCCTTTATCTGCTACAAGAAGCCAGAAAAGCTCTGCCTGACCCCATAGGCCAGCCTGTTGCCTGGTACCAAGGATGAGTGGATCACATATCAACACTTTGTGTCAAAGACCAGACTTGCAGCAACCAAAGCCAATGACAACTGTTGTGCTGTTGTTGTCTTGGGCTTATCAGAAATCTGAGAGACAATTTAGAGAATAATCTCCTTCCCTTTGAAGTTAGTTTCTTTAGGTGATATTGCATTCTCCTAAAAGAAGAAAGACTTCTTATATTTTTTGTTTTTGCTGAGGAATTTTGCTGCTTTTAAATTACTCAAAAAGACTGATACGATAGGCTTAGCTAGGATATAGGTCATACCTTGAAAACTCTGATTACTAAAAAGAGTCTCTTCGATTGATTCATTCACACTGCTAAATGTTAAGGAAATCCATTCAAATACAAGGTGACAGACAAAATGATTTCTTCACACCTGCTTAAAAGTTATCTATAGCCATGTTAAAATTTACCAAAGGTGCTAAAGAGTACCCAGAAATAATGTCTGCTTCATTTCGCCATTATTTCAAGACAATTTCTAATACCAGAAGTACATAACCTTAACCTTCATATTTCCTAAATATCCTGACCTAAATGTGGAATGTTGTGAATTACTACCTGGATTTAGCAGATTTTAAATGTAGAACAATAAGTGTTTGTGTGATTCTGCTTTTAGAGTCTTTTCATTGAAACGCATGCCAGGAAAAAAAGTTATATTTTAAGTATTTCCATTATCACATTAAATTGTGAACATTTACAGATCACAAATGACAAAATAAAATTAGGTTCTGGCTTCCAAATGGATGTTATGGTAAGAGTTCTGAATTTTTTTGTGTATAGTAAAATATTAATAATTTGAGTCTACTTACTATCTTGGTAGTACATAAATATTGCATCACTGCTATATTTTATGAATCTGATTCACTGGACTACATGATTACATAACCTTTTCCATTTTTTTCCCCAGCATCAAAGCTAAGACAGAAGATCCATCACATTTTCATTATCAGCTGCAGGCTAGAAAGGAGGAATGTGGCTTTGACCACAGAAGCTCTCTTACGACTCCTGATATTTCCAACATGTAGGAAAGAGGCAGTTGGAATGAAAGTGGTATTTTAAAAGGTCTCATTCTTCCAGTAGCTATCATTATAAAAGTATGCATGGATATTTATGTATTTATAAATCATGCTTTTTTATTTTGTTCTTAAATATCAAATTTTTTGTTATAATGCATATTTTTCTATGTTGATGTAATAATGGCAGGTAATGGATTTTACACTTTGGATTTCTCAACAATGTACCTTTGAGAGTGATTCTGGTCTTATGGTCCTTTTTTCCCCCTCACAAACCAGACCTTTACTTCCTATTTCTATCTGAAGTTTACACCATCCATATACTCCACTGTCACACACACTCATCTTTTTTAAAGAGAGAAGAGAATCAAACCATAGGCTTTAAGTACCCATCAGCTCATGGGAAGAGGCAGCCTACAAAAGAGCATCTAATCTTAATTTCAAAACTGACAAGATTCCAAAGTTGAGTCCACGTAGCCAGTTGATGTATAGATTCTCTAGAAGGTTTCCCAGCTGCTGAGTAAAGGCCACATTTTTTTTCTGGAGGGAGCCTTACCCTCTTATCTTCTACTAGACTTGAGGAATTGCCAAGCACAAATAAACTCTTTATTTCAGTGCTGCTCGGCATTGAAATTTTGTTATTAATTTCTCCCTTTTAATGTATCTATTCTTTATCCCTCTCCTGTTCCTTTTTCCTATTTAGTATCCACCATTAAGTATTTATTCTAAGCATAAATACTGAGAGAGGGGCATCATTTAGGAGACAGCAGTGTAATAGCCAATCACAGCAGATTCACTCATCAGGGTGCTTGGTCCTGAGAATAGTAGTAAATAAGACAGTGGATCCTGCTTTAGCATAACCTACTGAAAAACCCAGGTACTTGAACAACCAGAAGTGCTAACGAGAGCAGACTGTGGGAGCATGGTGTCTGGTGGCAGAGAAATGGGATGACCCTTGCCATGGCTTAAGGCCAGGCAGCACTCCTTGGATGTGCCTCATCTTTGTGCAACTTTGAGCTTATCTCTAGTAACCACTAGAGTGGACCACGTTGGAAGAAATGATCTCTGATCTATAACTCTGGAAAAAGCCACTTCTCTTCCCCAGCCTTATCTGAAAAAATGGAGATAATAGAAATTACTACCTGAGCTATGGCAAGGATTAAGATGGAGGGCCAAGCACATGCTTAATAAGCCTTAACCTCTTCTTTTCCTTAAAGTAGCCTAGTCTCTCTCATTCTGATTTGCACAAATTTGTGAGGCTTAAAGAAATCAAATTATAAAGTGGAAAAATCAGAGTGTGGTTATCACTTTTTAAAACTGTTTTTGTTGATTTTGAAGAGGGGAAAGGAGAGAGAAATATCAATTGGCTGCCTCCTGCACACACCCTACTGGAGCTCGAATCCACAACCTGAAGCTTGTGCCCTGACTGGTAATCGAACCTGATGACCTCACGGTGCACAGATGACACTCAGCCAACTGAGCCACACCAGCCAGGGCTGATTATTCACTTTTAAAATGCATTTTCTTTGGGTTTTTCATGATGGATTCTTTTTTCTCTATAAGATATAATGTCTCAATAAATTAATAATATCCATCAGGAATATATCTAGTGCATACAGCAAGCTTAAGTTGTGTACTGACTGAAAAACTTCTCTACCCCATCCCCATCAGTTTATTTTTGAAGACTTCTCTAGTTAACCAAAATCAAAGTTTCTAATACCATTTTTTATGTTTTTCATTTCACTTTAAGCAACTTCTTTTTCTTCTCGTCTTTATGACTTCCTTCGCTATCTTACCTATAAAATTAAATGAGATTTTATAATTTTATCCTCATATTTTTCTGGTATTGGAATCCAGTTTTTTGCATCACAGCACTCCTGTGGTGTAGGTAAAACGGTCCACTCTTCGCTTTCAAGACAGGAGCTCGCACCAGATATAAGCTACGAGATATTGGCTTCTTCATATTTATATATAGTCTTCCCCTAGACGGGGTGAGGGTTAAGTGATATCTTAGGAAGATACATAGTGTAATATTACATTCAAATAATAATTAAAAGGATCTTTTCTGTGAAAGACAAAAATCTCAATACCTTGTGAGAAGCACAAGGACAGTTTAGGGAGCTGTTAATAGTGATACCCTTTCACGTTATCCAGAAAATTGCTTTTGGAATCCTTCGTCTGTGGCCCACCTGATAAATCCTCTATCTTTGCAGGGGAAAGATTTCCTCTGAACTTTTCCAGGATCCACTTGGATCTGTGGCTTACCTATTCCACAGGCCTTTGGAGGAATGACACTATCACCACCCTGATGCTTTGCTATCTGTAGTAGTAAATGACCGTGAAAATACGCTGTTGCATCTGAAATGAGGTTTATATTACCCCATATGTCAAATAACAGTGTTTACCAGCTGTCCAGCTCTAAATTCTCTGCTGGGTACTCATGTCTGAAAGGAGATTGTCAACTTCTAGGTCGGAGTTCTGTCATCTGGTCATTCTTGATCAGTTTAGGGACACCTTTTGGTTCTGTAGGAATAAAAGTAAACACAAATCTTTTAAAAATATATATATTTTTATTGAGTTCAGAAAGGGAGAGGGAGAGGTAGAAACATGGATGATGAGAGAATCATTGATCCGCTGCCTCCTGCAAGCTTCCCACTGCAACCGGAGCTTGCAACCAGGCATGCGCCCTTGACCAGAATTGAACCTGGGACCCTTCAGTCCACCGGCTAACGCTCTACCTACTAAGCCAAACCAGCTAGGGCTAAAGTCAAATCTTAAGAGGGAAAAGTTTTAGAAATTAAGCAGAATTGTGTTCATAATGGATATTGTTTCATTCAACAAATAGAGTGCACACTAAAAAAGTTCTTTGTGCCCTAGTTGGTTTGGCTCAGTTAATAGAGAGTGTTGGCCTGTGGACTGAAGGGTTCCAGTTTTGATTCCCAGTCGGGGCACATGCCCAGGTTGCAGGCTCAGGTTGCAGGTGTTGTGCAGGAGGCAGCTAATCAATGATTCTCATCATTGATGTTTCTGTCTCCGCTCTCTTCCTCTCTGGCCAATAAAAATATAGTAAGAAAAATTAAAATTCTCTGCTGTCATGGACACACACACAAATTCTTTGGTGGAGAAACAGAACCTCATGTGGCTCACTTTTCATTAAAATAGAGAGCAAGTGATAATGCCTGGTTATTTTTTATTTAAGTGAAAAGCAAAAAAAGTTTGTCCCTTCAAAGTCCTGACTCCCAGGGCTAGGATGGCAGTATTGGCTGCCCTCTTCTGGTTTGGGCTTTCGCACAACGCCAGCCGTAAGGGCAGAGTCCTTTGTATGTGTTCCTGTGATGTGGGGGTGGGCTTGAAGCCTGGCCTTTAGATAAGAGGACCAGCTGAGGAGTTGGGGTAACCATCTGAACAGATGCCCTTGGAAATCACAGTAAAAATTGAAACTATTAAGCTCCCTTTTGATGGAGTTATCTGTTTTAGATCATGTGAACCAGAGCTTCTTTCCAACGGTACTGTCAGAAAAGATGCCTCTTTATAACGCTAGTGCTAGTTGTAGCCCAAGCCCCATCTTTCCTTCTCTGCCTAGGAAAAGTAGCCTAATGAACCAAAAATATCCTTGCCTATGGCCCTCCAACCTATTTGCTTGACAGGAAGATGCAGTTATGGGCCTAAGGCAAGTCTTGGTACTCCCCTGGTTTAGTGAAGGGTAGTAAGGTCAACCTTGAACTGTGTGGGCCGAAAGTCTTTGCTTTGATGTGAATGCTAACACCAAAATCTCATCCTCTAGGGCTGCATTTCCCTTTCCCTTTGACATTTTTTTTATTAAGAATACTTAACTGAACCTCATAGATATGAATTAGGAGATGCTTCCGAAGTTATTTCACTTCAGGATAGCGATCGGCAAAGTAGGGCTGATCCTTTAATCTTTATTGGAGAATTCAGTGGAAAAACTAATGTTTGTGAAAGCACCTAGCACTTAGTGAACTCTCACTTCATTCCTGCTCTGTTTTACCTTTGAGGCCAACCTGGGAATATATGAAATGTCTCAACTAACTTACATATACATGAAATGAAAAAATGAGCACCCACAATCACCCCATCAGACCAGGTTCCATACCCAGCATGTAGAAGCATGTAGAAGGACATACTTTTTCTATTCAAATTGTGGAGCTGTCAACTAGCCCATGCTCTACCCCTGGCCCTGGTCAGAGCTGCTGGTTCAACCTGGTGTGCCCAGCCACAGATCACAGGACCATGCTGCATGTGCACTGCCAGGGGTTTCTAAGGCGTCATCCTGTCTTGGGTGCCAGGGTCACACTATGAATTGCATGCCAGAGGGCTCTGGGCCATCACAGGAAATTGCACACCAGATGAACTATGCACACGCCCCTGCCCACCGTGAGAATTTGGACAACTGAGGGACCAGAGCCAGGGGAGAAAGAGGTACAACTCAGCAGACAAAGTGTGCAACTCAAGGCAGACCCAGCATTTGGTCTAGCAAGTGCCAGATCATTTCACCACTAGGGGCTTCAACCCCTTGGGTCCCAAGCAGGGAGCCCAGGGCCAGAGAGAGACAGCAAAAATGTGGAGACAAACCCCATTTAGGGAAACCCCCAAAGGAAAGGAGGAATCTCCCTTTAGAAAAGAAACTAAATAAGAGGCAAGCAATATGTCCGAGAATTCAGAGTAAATGTTCTATACCTCCTAAACCGGCTGGATGAGAAAATGACCAACATATGTAAGAACCAAGGGGAAATTAAGTGATCCATATCACTCATGGTTTATGAGTGTATGGTTGATGACATTGACTATGAGCAGCAAGAAGGGGAAAAGTACAGATGACCTCAATTATGGGGTCATGGCTGGAAATGCTGATTAGAAAATCTGGTTTGCCGTGTTGCGGTTTAAGGAGACAATTTTTAAAAAGGAGTAGACTGTTCCCAGCTATAATGCTGTCTATATTTTGCTTGCTAGTTGTTCATTAAATGCCACATATGAGTGAAATCATATGGTTTCTTGTCTGTAGGTGGTGTTGGGGTGTGGTGTAGAGGTAAAAAAAAAAAAAAAAAAAAAAAAAGAGAACCCATGGATATGGACAATAGTGTGGTGATTTTGGAGGTCTGAGGGTTTGGGTGGAGAAGGAAGAGGCCATAGAGGATACATGTTGATGGAAAGAAAAAAGTCAGGTAGAAAAAAAGAAAATGGAAAAAGAAAAATGTGAACCTGGATGATGAACCTATGGGAAGGTCAATGTATTTTCTAACTTCTTTTATTCCTGTTAGTTTCTATAATAATAATAAAAAAAAAAAGTTGTAGTGATGGTGTAGAGAAATTAAAGAATGGCATATATTTCTGTATTCTTTTTGAAAGGATAGAGGAAAACTGTCAATTCCTTCAATATATCTTTGCTCTGTTTTATATACTAGAATAACTTGTAAGTCATCTTTTCCCTTATTTGACAACAGCTGTTTTCCCTAACTACGTGGGAATTAAAGAGGGCACAGGTGGCACAAGGACCCAATCCTATGCACAACTTCATTTACCTTTAACAACTTCATTGATTTTTCTATTAACATACATAATTCCCACAACAGATTTCTTTGGGACTTTGTATTGCTGAATGCAATATAAAGGAATTGTAATAACCACCACCAAGATCTAAAAACTTGGTTTCTGCTCTTGAAACATGTAAGAATTTGGAGATCAAAATACCTTAGATGTAACTAAATTGTGCCATAAGCCTGAGTTCTTTCTTAAAAAGAGTACTAAATTAATAAACTTAGGTGCCTTATTCATTAAGCACAAAAGATATTTCTAAATAAGGTACATTTGATAACTTTTTCCTCCTACCACCTTCACCTATATTAATAATTTTTAGATCAGTTCTAGAAGTTAATCATATTAATGGATCTTATGTTTTTGGGGATGTACAGATTCAGGATATTTCTAGGAAGGAAAAAAATTTTGGTCTATTGATATAGTCCTTTATAGCACAGAACTGAAAATATCCCTGTATCAAGACTTTATACTAGAAAAAGAAGTAGAAAATGGTGGTCAGGAAAACCTTTGCATTGGACAGATACCAGTCTGTACATACCTCTAAATCAACCATCAACAAAAGTGTTTTCATAAATTGGGATGGAATATTTAAGTTCAAATCCCAACTCTATCACTAGCTGGTTGGTTGATCTATACAGCTAGTCACTTAATCTCTTTGTACCTAGTTTGCTAGTCTTTGATACTTACACCTCAGGATTACTGACTCTGAGATGTAATGTATGTCAGAGTTCTTAGAACAGCATCTTGTAGAGTGTTATGTATTGTTAAAGAGGAATTTCATCACAAATGTATTTAAATTTAACATGAATCCACCTTCATACCTAAACAAATAATTCTAGCCTCTTGCCATACCATTTATAAAATTTGTGTTTAAATTTTTTTTAATATGACATAACCTTGTAAATTGAAGGTTTACATCAGTTTCTCAACCAAAGAAATAGAAATCTGGCCTTTCTAGCAGTGACTACTTCCCCATGACAACATCCCTCTCCAAAAGGAAAAAACAAGAAAAATGCCTGGTACGGAGCCCAATTCCCATTTCATGGATGTGAAATGCCCAGGATGCTATAAAACCACCACCATCTTTAGCCATGCACAAACAGTAGTTAGCTACTGCACTGTCCTCATTAGTGTAAGCTGCTTCCTAAGTTGAAAGGAAAAACTATGAGTAATTCAGAGACCGTTCCCAAGAATTTTCTCCAATGGAAATGTAGACTATGTGTGAGTTGTATGCACTGAATTTAGGAGTCAGACTCGACTCCTTGCCAAGTAAGATATAATCTCTATATAAGGCTAACATGCAAAGTGTCCACTAGGGAGTTAGATTGCTCGCTATGACATGCACTGACCACCAAGGGGTGGCGCAAAACAAAGGAAGGCCCTGGCCTGCAACCTGAAGGAAGGCCCAAGTGGGCAGCAGGAAGGCCCTGATCAGCCCTGATAGCTAGCCATGCCTAGATACCCTAGCCATGCATGTATTTTCTTCAATAATTTCCCTTATAATTTTCTATTGATACTTGAAATGTTTCAGTTAAAAATAGGAAAAGGAAAATAGGTTAAAGGTAAAAATAGATTTCAAAGCAGTATCTAAATAACATGTTATGAAGTGAGATGGAAGACTCATTGCTACTGTGTGTTTATCAGAGTCACCTCACTCACTGGAATAAATGTCTATTGAAAGTAATTTTAGAACTGAATATAAAAAGTACCTTAAAATAAAGTACCTTTCCCCCCTTTTGGGCCATTAATTCCAGTGAGTGAACTCTCCCTTGTATCAAAATACTTTATAAAACCATACACTTACCCCCAAATTTGCCACTAATAACTTTAAAAGAAACGATCAGCACTTATCCTTCCAGTGTTAAACTTTGTTTACTAAAGCCATAGATATTGCCATCTTACAGTCTTCTAATAGAGAAAAAGCTCTGAGCTTACTAAACTGGTAGGAATATGACAAGAAAATTCTTGGGATTATTGAAATGGCCGTTTTAACTACTATAAAAACTACACAAGTGGTTCAACAGAATTTACTTGTATATTTTTCATTTTCTATCCTACCTAAAGGCATAGGATGGCTTTGTATTATCTTTCTACAATACCGTGTTTTAAATGCATCCAGTAAACTAGATGCAATACAACTTTTATACAATTTAAGAGATTAAAAAATGTTTGTCTTGCTCGTTCACTGCAATTAATTCTTATTCTTTGCTAATAGTGGGGGTACGGATGTTTGGTAAATGTTTATGGCTTTACTTTCTTTATTATCAAGTCTTTTAAAGTGCTATCAAGCAGCAAGTAAGTTGCACCAGTTCTCTGCTCATTAAAGGTAAAGGTGCTAATTCCTCGTGGTAGAGGTGCAAATTGTGCAATCACAAGTGGTATAGTTTAACAGTAAGTAGAGCATGAAAAAACAGTAACAAGTGGCCTAAGTACAGAGTTGGACAGAACAAACCAATTTATAACTGCTCAATTGAAACCAATACAGTGCATTCAAAATAAAGTTTGAGATAAGTGTTTAGAATCAAATTTGAAGAATTTCTTGATAAAATATAAATCTGTTCTTTTGAAATTGGAAATGAAACTATCAACTGATGGAGAGCTAGAGACTTATTAACCCCTCCTACACAGATAAGGAAATAAGTGACAAAGTCTCTTGAAGTTATGTATTTTAACAGCTTTACATGTAATATTCATATATAAAAAACTTTAAGTGCTTTTCTCCAATTTAAAAATCTAAAGAATTCAAAAATAAGGCATTCAATATTTGAAAAAAGTACAGATTTACAAAATGTGTATATTCTGTCATGAAAACTCCACACCAACATTATACACTTGGAAAAAAATACAAACAGGATATATTACAAATTTATGTAAGCAATAACTTAGTTCACACCATGCAATAAAAAGTACATTAATCAAGATACACAAGCTTTTATAGGTTCTAAACTGAAGGACTTTTCTTCTTCTGCAGAATCCTTAAAACCGGTGGCACTTAAAATTTGTTAGCCTTTCTACTGAGAGGTAAGTTATACACAACAATGATGAAAAAGATTAACAGACCAGTTGTCTATTATGAATCATTCCAGCTTTGTTCAACAATGGCTGAAACTCTTTTCTCATATTCCCGTTTGTTTTCCTGATAAAGTTGTGCTGCCTGGCTATTAGCTGGACTGTTTGGATTTGGTTCATCCAGCAGAGACTAGAAGGAAAGACAAAAAAAAAAATTGCAGAGTTGTTCTTTGCATTAACGGGTCAGATAAGGAGCACAAAAGTTATATAAAATGGCAGAAATTAGTATGTCTTATATATTTTTACATCTAAATACTTTTCAGATATGGCTTAATAAATACAGTGAGAAGATACCTACTGCTAGAGAAAAGCTTCTAAAACAGATCACTCTCAATGCCTTAAGACCTTTGGAAAATTGAAAAAGAATATCTTCTTCAGCCTACTAACATTAAATAGGAAGCAAGTAGTTTGATTTGGTTAATATACAACACCTATAAATAGCTTAGCAACAAACCTTTTCCAACGTTAAGCTCTATTATTGTAGTTATTTGGCAAATGTCTCACTATAAGTTAATCTTGTTTCCTTTAATCAATAAAACATATCTAGCTAGCAGCAAAGGGATGAAATAAGAAGGTTAAAAACAATGTTTATAAGATGACCCCAATGCCGAAGCCGGTTTGGCTCAGTGGTAGAGCATCGGTCTGCGGACTGAACGGTCCTGGGTTCGATTCCAGTCAAGGGCATGTACCTTGGTTGCAGGCACATCCCCGGTGGGGGGTGTGCAGGAGGCGCTGGTCGATGTTTCTCTCTCATCGACGTTTCTAGCTCTCTATCTCAATCCCCTTTCTCTCTGTTAAAAATCAATAAAATATATTTTTTTTAAAAAAGACCCCAATTAAAGCAAAGTTTTAAAAAGTCACAAACCAAAACATTACTTCTGCTCCTCTCAAATTCACATAACTAAAACATACCTCTCCCCCGCTCCAGGAAACTGTAATTCAAGGTCCACTGTGAAACATTCTGCCAGAGTGCTTTGGCAAATAGTTACGATACTTTCTTTTACACACACACACAGATTGGCCAGATTATCATCCTCTCTGAACGCATAATAATCTGGCCACTCAGTGTATATCCTATATAATAAAAGGCTAATATGCAAATTGTCCCCTTGACCAGCAGGCAGGCTGGTCAAACACCCATATCCCCTCCCCCTGGTCAGGCTAACCAGACCCCACCCATGCACAAATTCATGCACCAGGCCTGTGGTCAGATATCCCCCTCACAATCCAGGACTACTGGCTCCTAACCTCTCACCTGCCTGCCTTCCTGATTGCCCCTAACCATTCTGCCTGCCGGCCTCATTGCCCCTAACCGCCTCTGCCTCTGCCTCAGCCCCCGCCACTGTGGCTTTGTCAAGAAGGATAACTGGAAGATGTCCTGTCTAATTAGCATATTAGCCTTTTTCAGTATTGATAATTTCTTAGATAGGGCAGTATTCTCAATTCCAGGCACTTGGCAGTTTTTTGAGGTCCCTATGGTTTTTTTTTGTTTTTTTTTTCCCCAGCAATCATCTTTTTATTTAATATATTTTATTGACTCTTTTTTACAGAAAGGAAGGGAGAAAGATAGAGAGTTAGAAACATTGATGAGAAACATTAATGAGTTGCCTCCTGCACACCCCTTATTGGGAATGTGCCCACAACCAAGGTACATGCTCCTGACCAGAATTGAACCTGAAACCCTTTAGTCTGCAGGCTAACGCCCTATCCACTGAGTCAAACCAGCCAGGGCAGCAATCATCTTTTATCTTTCCCCAAGATTTTTTTATTCTTCTCCACAATCTCTGGCTATACTTCATGGGCACAAATAATACTTGGCCTGTGAAAACATTAACTTACACATAAACAGGAAAATAATTGTGGATTTGATCTAAGGTGGTCTCTAATGAAAAAACAGACCAGTCATCTGGAAATCATTGACTTTTCGTCTGAGCTTTGCCACCTTAGTGTTGGGAAAGTTAGTTTGCTCACTTGGTCTTTAGATTATGCTTAAAAGAGCTGATTGGATACCAGAGTCTTGAAAAATTACGATGCATCTTAATATACACTTACCTGAATTGAGGTTAAAATAGAAGATACATCATATGTTGGACTCCATCGATTCTGAAGGATATCTAAACATATGCTACCATCAGCATACACTGCAAAGACAACACTAAAACTGGTTACATATTAACTTTGTCATATCTATTAAGAGAAATCTTTACCACAAATAGAATGCTTGGCCCAGACAGAAGTTTTGAATATTAGGCAATAACTAAACTCCATTCTCACAGGAAAACCAGTCCTAAATAAGGTCTCTTATTTTGTACCTTCTCATGAGGAGGCTGGGTGGGAGTTAAAACTTTTCAACACTCCATACAGCAAATCTGTTTAAATTCCCTATTTCTAAATATTCTTAAATTAAGCTTTGGGGGTGGGGAGAGTATTTATTTAAAAAATATATTTTATTGATTTCAAAGAGGAAGGGAGAGGGAGAGAGAGAAAAACATCAATGATGAGCGAGAATCATTGATTAGCTATTATACCTCCGGCACACCCCACCCACACTGGGGATTGAGCCCATAACCCAGGCATGTGCCCAGACCAGTAATCGAACCTGGAACCCACCCTTCAGTCCAAAGGCTGACGCTCTAGCCACCGAGCCACACCGGCTAGGGCAAGTTTATTTTTTAACACAGCAATTTCACTCCAAGAAATTACTCTAAAAGAAATAATAATGAACATACAAAGTTTTATTTATAGATGTTCACTATAATACTCTTTATAAGAGTGAAAAATTGGAGACTATCTTGTGGCCCATAAAGTGGGGACCTGCTAAATGCTACATTCATATAACCATTACCACACTAGTCAACAGAAATGATACACATCTGCCCTATGTTAACTAATGTAGAAAGACATCCACAATACGTACATTACCTTAATACCGTAATTTTCCAATTATTTATACAGGATAACATAATTCCATTTATAGTAAAAAATTATAAATATCTTAATTTGAGGTATACACAGTTGCAAAAACATTTGTAAGATTCAATGTCAAAATGAAACTTAAATATCTGTAGATAATGGGATTATGAAAGATCTTATTTTACCTTTTCTCGTAATTTTTGAATTGTTTTTGCAATGAGTATACCTTCCTTTTAAAATTAAAAAATAACAGTAATTAACAAGTTTTAGAAGTCTTTAGAGAAAGCCAGATCACTTTGGGGGGAGGGGAGAGGGAGGAAGACGGGCAAAGTATACTTAAATGCTGTCATTCCACAGGGCTCTGTCCTCGCTTCTATCCTTCTTATCCATTACTATCCATGTGCTAGGTACTTCCAACTGTTAGCTTTAGATCAGATTCTAAAACTCAGCTTAAAAACAAGTCCATTTACTTACTATAAATCCAAGCAACATCACATTTAGGAAACCCAGAGCAAGTATTATCACACCTCTGTAAATCCCATTGAAGTATAAAATGATTTATCATCATCACACCTTTGTAAATCCCATGGAAGTTTAAATGATTAAGTTTTGAACTAGTAACTATTTTTGAGAAGTAATCAAAAAGTGAACAAGAAACCTAGGGACTGATGAATAAATAAAGTGTACTATATCCATACAATGGAATATCTTTCACCATAAAAGAAAATGAAGCCCTAGTTGGTTTGGCTCAATGGATCAAGCATCATCCTGCAGACTGAAAGGTCCTGGGTTCACTTCCCAGTCAAGGCACATGCCTAGGTTTCAGGCTCAATCCCCAGTAAGAGGCATTGCAGGAGGCAGCCGATCAATGATCCTCTCTCATCATTGGTGCTTCTATCTCTTTCTCTCTCTCTCTTCTCTTTGAAAAGCAATAAAAATATATTTTAAAAAGTAAAAAATGAATTATGTTACAACATAGATGAAACCCAAAAACTAGCTTGCTTTGAAGTAAGTCACAAAGAACCAACTATATTACATAATTCAATTTATGTAAAATCTCCAGAATAAGTAAATCTATAGAAACAAAAAATAAGTCTATGGATTGCTAACAGGCATGGGATTTTTGGAGGAGAGTCATAAAAAAAGTTCTAAAATTGGCCCAGCCACATGGCTCAGTGATTGAGCACTGACCTATGAACCAGGAGATCACGGTTCGATTCCCGCTCAAGGACACATGCCTGGGTTGCAGTCTCCATTACCAGTAGGGGGCATGCAGGCAGTTAATCAATGATTCTCTCTCATCAATGTTTCTCTCTCTCCCTCTCCTTTCCTCTCTGAAATCAATAAAACTTATTAAAACAAACACTAAACTGTATATTTTAAATGGGTGAAGAGCATGGTACATGAATTATATTTCAATAAGAATGTTAATAAAGTAAACCAGGAAGTTAACAATAAAAAAGTACTGATCGCAGAAAAAAGGGAAATGATGCTATTAATATTAAATGATCAAAAATAATAATAGTTTCCCCATAAGTCTATTAATCCTATACCCATAAACGTATACTCCCTGCATATTCTATAGTCTATTCCACCTTTATTTACAGAGCCCCCTTCTATAATTTGGGTTGATTTAATATAAGTCTAAGCCAGGATAAAGCAACAGCAGAATAGTAAGCAACTTGTGAATTTCCCCAAAATAGAAACAAAAAATAAAATTAAACCTGTCTTAGCTTTAAAAGAAAAAAAACGGCAGCTGGAAGGAAAATGCAAAAGAAATTAAATCTATTGGGCAGTCACACTGGTTTCAGATACACAAACATTAACACTCCTCTAAGTAGGGAGCACCACCTGCCTATAGCCCACTCATGCAGTTTGCAGTACTAGACTAGATGCAATCAGAAAGACGTCTGAATATGTGCCTCCTGAAAAGAACTGATGGGGAAGATCACATTGAAATGAGCAAAAGGTTACAAAAGAGAGCTTAAATGTTTTGGAAAATAAGCCTTTCAGACAGTAATTTATAATCATAAAGTCAGGGAAGAACAAATTTAACTATAAAAGGGTCCCTCAGCAATCACTTATGAAAAATAATAAACTTCTCAAAGTGAAAATAGGAATGAGAAAAAAACATAAAACTGTATTTTAAAAAGCCTTAAAAATACACAAACCTTTGGTCCAGTAATACCACTTCTAAAAACTTATTCTAAAGAAATATTAGGCGTAGTATTTGAGAAGATTTATTTTCAAGAATATAAAAAAATGTTGAAAACCAACAACTGGACACTGATTAGGTAAGTTAAACTCAGAACATTTTGTAGCCACTAAAATTGGTGTGGAAATATTTAATAAGGTAAAATGTTCATAGTATATAAAAATTAGGTACTTAAACTTTATTCAGAATATACCAATTTTGTAAAAGCATTTATTTATATTTTTAAAAGCTAAATTTTAAGTGACAAATTCTTTTCAACACCTTTCACAGTTCTACAAATAGATATTATTTTAAAATCAGAAGTTATTAAAACAAAAACAAATTTATCTCAAATTTGGGACCTTGGTAGATTTGTGACTAATACTGAGTTGAAAACAACATCTGAAAGTGGGCCCTTAATGTGAGAACTATGGGGTAAGACCTAGAACGAAGAAAACAAGCCTTTTTCCCCTTCTTTACATCATTTGCAAAGTCAAACAAAATTGCGACTTACCATTTGGATGAAACATTTTGGATAAAAACCTAACAGTTGGTGGTTTATTTGGATATTCTTCAGAAAATTCTATTACTAGTTTGAAAGTACCTAGATAGAAAACAAACCAAAGTAATTATAGTACAGACAAGCATAACTTTTAAATCTCTTCATCAATGAATTTTCAACCCATATTAGTTTTTGCACCACTTAAAAATTCATGTGAATTTTGGCTCAGCATATGAAACATACTAATATACTTTATGTCAGACTGGTAACACACAGTAATGGCAAGCATAGGAAACTAACACTTTCACATACTACTGTTGGGAATGATAACTGTTACATTTTAAAAAGGCAATTTAGTTCTAGCTACTAAATTTAAAATGCACATTTGGAGACATTATAGTTTAGAAGAGGGAAGGATGCCCAGAGGATTTTTGAGAGTTGGTGATTACCACATAACAAAGGACTCAGATTGGAAACTTGGGAGCTAATGTGAAAGATCTGTTCTGTCCCATAAGAATCCTTCACTTAAATATGCCAAGAATCAGTACTGGTAAGCATAAGTGTAACTATCTACTATTGTTGGTTATAGATCAACACACTATATTTTGGTCAGTCTATATCAGTATTTTTTGGTCAATAGAAGCATAGGCAAAATTTTTTAAATTTTTTAAATTTTGCATTTTAACAAAGTAAATCTCTTCATAGTGAACAGAAAAGTTAAGAACTCTCAACTCCAATTCCAAATCCATTTCACAGAAATAACACTACTAGTGGTTTTAGGGTTGTTTTTTTTAGACTTCTTTTGTGTTTATTCACTATCCAAAGTCCTTTTATTTTGAGGATACTCACCTTAAAAGTGAGTAATTAGCCAAAACTGGTTTGGCTCAGTGGATAGAGCATCAGCCTGCGGACTGAAAGGTCCCAGGTTCAATTCCGGTCAAGGGCATGTACCTTGGTTGCGGGCACATCCCCAGAAAGGGGTGTGCAAGAGGCAGCTGATTAATGATTCTCTCTCATCGATGTTTCTGACTCTCTATCCCTCTCTGTGAAAAATTTTATATATATATATTGAAGTGAGTAATTAGTGAGGTTCTCCAACTAAAACCCACTGGAAAAATTTATTCCTGAGTCAATATAAGCTTAAACCATTCCAGGTGTCTCTACAAAGTTCTTTCCCTTATGTTATCAATGCTATTTTTTTTAAATGCCAACTATAACTAAAAAATAAAAATTTAAAAATAATATACTAAAAAATAAAAATTTAAAAAATAATCTAAACAACAAAAACCTTAATCTCAATTCTAAGATCCTGGCTTCAATTTACTAACCTAAGAGGCACGTATTTAGTAAATATTTTCTTTTTTATCTTTGTCATATTTGATACTCAAATTCTACCTCTTTACAATTTTTTGTTTGGAAATTTGGAATTAGGGAGGCCAAAGATATAAGCAAAATAAAAGGGGGTATCTTCTTCATATTTTGATATATTAATATAGGTACTATGAAATGTCTAGTCAACTAGTGAAGACAACCTTATAATATGTATTTTTAAAGCTTACATTTTAATTCTCTTTAATTACAAAAATGTATTATGTAAAAATATCAAGCAAACACAAATATGAAACAGTTATTTTTAAGTTCTCCCCCTATTATGGGATCTCTGGACCCCCCCCCCTTTTTTTTTAAATATATTTTATCCATTTTTTACAGAGAGGAAGAGAGAGGGATAGAGTTAGAAACATCAATGAGAGAGAATCATTTATCAGCTGCCTCCTGCACACCCCCTACTGGGGATGTGCCCGCAACCAAGGTACATGCCCTTGACTGGAATCGAACCCGGGACCCTTCAGACCGCAGGCTGACGCTCTATCTACTGAGCCAAACCGGTTTCGGCATCCCCCCTCCCCCCCTTTTTTTTTTATTGACCTTCACTTGAAGTTATTTTTCTAATGAAATTTAGAATGGAAGAGACAATCACATAATTATATAAATTAAAACATTGATGTGAGACAGATATACATCAATTGGTTGGTTGCCTCCCACACTGGCCCTGACCAGGACTGGGGATCCAGCCTTGCAACAGAGGTACATGACCTTGACCAAACCCCGGACTGAAAGGGATCCTTCAGTCAGCAGGCTCTATCCACTGAGCTAAACCGGCTAGGGTTCAGGACCCTTTTTACGCTCTCATTCCACCAAGCTTCAATGGGAAGTCACTAATATGAAGCTGGAAAGAGATGCATGCATAGCATACCATTTTATGGTATCTCCACCAAAAACAAAAAATAATTTCATTTTAAATAATAGCTCTCTAATAAGTTCCCAAAACTTTTAACAATCTGTTCTCACAAATCAGTATAAGCTGCCCCCAGCACACCACTGGCTGTAACTATCAATATTTGTTATATTAGAATTGTAACTCAGAAAAATCTTAAGATTTATATCATTAAGAACTATAAATTCATTACACATTTACCTAAGTAACATTTAATGAGAAAAAACAAGTATCTTCTCACCAAGTTAGTGAGAAGTGAAGTATTGTTTTACATATTTTGCAAATCTCTTTAATGACTGTCTTAACAGAAGACAGCTGGATTCTCTTTTCTTCTTCTGTATTCAATCTGTTGCAATATGCTGTTTTGGTTGAGGAACATGAAGATCAGGCATCACACAATTATGTAAATGAAAAGAAGTATTTTCATAGCCTTTTCAGATAACTAGGTATTTTTTTATATTACACCAAAGAAATGGTAAGTTTTTAAAGGTTAGTTGCAATGTAGAATCTGAAACCATATCTATAAAGTTTTATATCATTCACATTTGGAAAATATTGGTTCACTGTCCAGTTGCTCTCATTGACCTAACAGCTCACTCAGGTCACTTTTGAGAATATACCTGTCAAATACTCAAACCTAAATAATCAGTTTGTCAGTCATTCTTTCAAGAAAGAATGTTCCATGAAATAAGCAGTTCGCCAAAACCGGTTTAGCTCAGTGGATAGAGCGACAGCCTGAGGACTGAGGGGTCCCAGGTTCAATTCCAGTCAAGGGCATGTACCTTGGTTGTGGGCACATCCCCAGTAGGAAGTGTGCAAGAGGCAGCTGATCGATGATTCTCTCTCATCGATGTTTCTCTCTATCCCTCTCTCTTCCTCTCTGTAAAAAATCAATAAAATATATTTAAAAAAAGAGAAAAAAGCAGTAGTTCAAGTTGCAACTTAAGCAATTGCAAAAGTGTTTTTCCTCCAGATAGTCATATTTGGTATACAAGAAAAGTGCTGTATACATACTTACCACTTCATCACACAGAATATTAAAAGGATGTACATTCAAGGGTCAGAATTTAATAATATTAATAATTTCCACTTTTTCACCAAGATGTATACTCAAGGGTCAGAATTAAGTGGTATTTTTTAAAATACAAAAAGTACCACTTAGTACAGAGGAGAAAGTCTTGTAAACTATGTATCAGTATTTAATTTTAATTTGACCTATTAACAATAGGTCAAGTAGAAAATAGTTTTAAGTTGATACATTGGTGTTACAATTTCCTACTTTTGTTGTTGATAATCCTCACCCAAGAATATTTTCCCACTGATTTTTAGGGAAAGTGGGAGAGAGAGAGGGAAAGAGAAAAACATCGATGTGAGCAAAACACATCTATTGGTTGCCTCCTGCCAGAGCCCCGACCAGGGCCAGGCCCGGGGAGTCTGCAACCAAGGTATGTGCTTCTGATCGAAATCAAATCCGGGACCCTTCAGTCTGCAGGCCGAGCCAAACCCAGTAGGGCCTAATTTCCTATTTCTAAGAAACCTCTTAACACTGTAGAAAAAATAAGAATGACTTACCATCTTCAAAGGGTGTCCCTTCTGGTCTGAAAACAAGAAGATTTCTGATTAAAACACGTTTTTCATTCTTTCATCCTGCTTTTTCCTGATTTTTCAAGAGTGGAAAGGATAAACGCAAACAAAAAGAGGGGCTCATCCTGACAATTCGTTGAGTTTTTAAGATAGTGTTAATTTAGTATCAACTTAGGCCTACATTTTTACCGATGTAGGCATAAAAGGTAACTTTTATTTTCTAAGTTTTCCTTTTAGGGTAGCTTTAAAAAAACAAAACAAACAAAAACAAAACAACAACAAAAAACACACATAAATAAAAAACATGATTTTAGCACAAAAAGAATTCAATTCCTAAATACTAACAAGTTATTTTGTAAATATGTGCATTCTTAAGAGAAAAGGTCCTATTTTAATTTAGTAAGATGGAAATCAATACCCTTAGTTTAATTATGTTACCAAAGCAGCATGTTCTGCTTTTTAAAAAAAATCCTCACCCAAGGATACAATGTTCATCAATTTTAGTGAGGAAGGGAGAAAGAGACACACACATTAATGTGAGAGAGGAACTTTGATTGACCGGGCCTTATAAGAGCCTTGACTGGGGATCAAACCTGAAACCTAGGTATGTACTCTGACTGGGAATCAAACCCAAACCTGTTATGTATTGGATGACGCTCTGACCCGTTCTGCCAGAGCAGGTGTGTTCTATTTTTCAACAGAGCAGTTTCTAGTTCAAAATGGATAGACGTAACTAAATCAAGAAAGCCAGATTCTTTGCTCAAATTTTTTCCTTGCCTCTATATCCCAATTTCATTTTTCCTAAGCAGCAGCATGAAGTTTACTTGCAAGGCATATTCAAGTCTCAAAGAAATATGTTTACAGCCTAGATTTAAAATAATCACTTTAGAAGGAGAATTGCCTTCTTTTTCCCACTATTTTTTAAAGTAGACCCTTATTTGTAACTAATTCAGAGGCAACTCAGAATTTTAATGAAAAGATTCCCCTTTAAAATTAAAGTTTTAGCACAAAGCTCTAGTTTTTAAAAAAGAATGAAAAAAAAAAAAAAAGGTAAATTCTGGGAAAACCAAAGAAAAAGCATAAGGAAATTTTAAAGTAAAAAGCATGTATGCAATATATATGTAGAATGTAAGGCTTCATTCAGCTACAGGTATACTCATTTTATTGCACTTCACAGATATTGCTTTTTTTTTTTTTTAATATATTTTATTGATTTTTTTACAGAGAGGAAGAGAGAGGGATAGAGAGTCAGAAACATCGATGAGAGAGAATCATCAATCAGCTGCCTCTTGCACACCCCCTACTGGGGATGTGCCCGCAACCAAGGTACATGCCCTTGACCGGAATCAAACCCAGGACCTTTCAGTCCACAGGCCAATGCTCTATCCACTGAGCCAAACCGGTTTCGGCATTGCCTTTTTTATTAATTGAAAGTAAGGACCTACACGAGCCAAGAAAAATTTTTTTTTCTTTATTGTGGTAGTCTGGAACCATACACACAGTATATCTGAGGTATGCCTGTATTTTATATTGGGCTATGAAACATTTTTCATTTAAAATCTTGCCATTGTGTAAGTTCTCAATGATTTTTGTTCTTAGCTTTTTTATGGTTCCAATAGAAGTATAAACACTTACTTGGCATATTTTGTATAAAATCATTTATCTCTTCTCCTTTAGTTTCAAATGGTATTTTTATAAGGCAAAACCCAAAGTTATTATAAAATCTTACGTATTTTTAAAAATATATTTTCATTGATTTCAGAGAGGAAGGGAGAGGGAGAAATAGAAACATCAATGATGACAGAGAATCATTGGCTGCCTCCTGCACGCCCCCTAATGGGGATGAGCCAGCAACCTGGGCATGTGTCCAGACTGGAATCGAACCCGGGACCCTTGAATTCACAGACTGATGCTCTATCCACTGAGTAAAACAACTAGGGCTATAAAATCTCATGTATTAACACCAAAATGGAAATAAGTTTTAGGTAACCGACAAAACTTTTATGGGAATGTTTTTTCTAATTGCAGTTTCTGTAAGGTCCCCATTTCTCCTCAGTCTCTTTTACTAGTTGCACGTTTTTAAAAACTCACCCCGCCTATCAGTTGTTTTATCTTTCAACTCACCCAAATATAACTGCATTCCACTGCATGATGTTGTTTTCAGATGGTGCGCCACTGACACCCACAGGTGGGTCCTCTTGCAATCTAGAAATCCGTAGCAGTAATTTTAAAAGTTGAACATTTGGGCCACTAAGAAGGCCAAATAAAACACCTATACTCTCTGCTTTAAGACACAAACAAAACCTATTTCCTTGCTCTTGTGCTGAGCTGGAATAAACCATCTCACAATAAATAAAAAATTGCCCAGGTACATACTTATTAGATACCACTACAAATCACCTAAAATACTAAAGGACTTGGGAGTATCCCTCTTCAATTACCATCAAGATTAAGATATCTTTCAAGAACTAGTGTGTGTGTGTGTGTGTGTGTGTGTGTGTGTGTGTGTAGATAGATAGATAATCGACTGCCCTCAACCAAAACTAAAAAACCTCAAGTGCAAAAATATTTGAACAGAACCATCAATTTTGCTGCTGTAATGCAGACTGTGAGTGCTAAGGATGGCTATTTGTGCAACATGGCCACCAAACCTCCTCCTCCTGAAAACAAAAAAATCCTCAGTGTGACCACTAAAGGACTGAAAACACTTGATTCAATTTCATTAGGAAAGTAGTTTCAGGCAGGAGAGCTACTTTATCCATTTGCTTCAATTAGCAATGGCTTTTAGAGCAATCAAAGATTGTTTTCCGTCAATCCTCATTTTAAAGGCTCTGCACTAACAGAGAACAGGAGACTCAATACAAAACTATCTTCCAACATTTGTCAGTCAAATTCTTGCAACCTGAAGACCCTTGGAAAACTAACAAAGGTAGCCTGTATTCAATTCAGAATAAAGCAGAGAATCACAGCAAATCAGGGTAACAAGAGGCACGAACTGGAAGTATTATTATTTGAATTTCACTCATCTGAATTTCAGCTAATTTAAAATTGCTGATTTCAAGCTTTTGAAGACGACTTTTACATGAAATAGGGCATCTCCTTTCAAAGACTCAGTAAAAAAAATAAACGCTATACTCTCTCTCTCTCTCTCTCTCTATATATATATATATATGCAGTTATTGTCATGTGGCAAACTTTCAAATTGGTCTACATAAAAACAGTTATTTTTAGTCAGCCTCAAGGAAAGATGATGCTTGATGCCCACCAAAGGTAACCGGCTAAGTTACAAATAGATTCAATGATAAACTGGTCACAGCCCAAAACAATGGCTTCCAAAGTCTCACCAACGACTTTACAATGGCTAAGTTGAGAGGTCACTTCCTGAGCCGCTGATCTAAGTTTTTATACTAGACACATTTCGTCTCAATCAGGGAAAAACAGAGGACTGCAATGCTAAGTTTTCTATTCCTTTTCCGGCACCATACCTCAAAGTAAAAGGTAAACAACTGGAAAAAAAAAAAAAAAAGTCACTTCCTCCTCACCACCCCTTCCATCTCCTAACAAAACCCTTCTTTACAGCAGGAGGCCCTGGGAGTATCGGGTTAGCGCCGGCCTGGGGAAGGCACTCTTCCAGACTTGGGAGACTATAGATAGGGCTTTCTACCCCAGGGCCCGGAGCGGAGTTCCAGAAGGTCCTGGCAGCCAGACGTGCCAGCTCGAGTCCCAGGGCTAAGCCAGTTCTCAAGGTCCTTGCAGGCGGGCGGGCGGGGGAGGGAGGGCCGGGGGGGGGGGGGTGTGTGTGGGGGGAGTCAGGTTTCGGAGAATGGGGTTAACCACCTCCGGACCTCGCGGGGCAGACCCACCCTCACTGCAGAAGGGGGGGGGGGTGCTTTTCTCCTCCACCCTGCCCCTCCGAGCAGACCGCAGGCCCGCGGAACAAAGCTCATTGGTGGACTCAGCGAGGAAGAAGCTCCCGCAAGGGTTCCCTTTTGGGGTGGAGAGAAGGGGTGCCGCAGGGTTCAGGGGCGGGGGTAAGGTTTCAACGGCAGGGCGACAAGTCAAGCAGCTGGCCCAAGCGGGCAGTGGGGAATCTTAGGTGTTTATAGCCTTTTTTTTTTTTTTTTTTTTCATTTGGGGAGAGAAGGGGTGTCGGAGTGAGAAAACAAGAATGAGGGAGTGTGAACGACTTGGGGGTCGCGGGGAGAGAGTCAGAACTGGCTTTCGGTCGCTCCCGGGGCCACGGCCGGCCCTCTGAGACTCCCCAGAGGAAGGCGTCCCGGATCCCTGTCCGGTCCGGCCGGCCCGCGGCTGTGGGGAGGAGCCGCCGTGCGGGCGGAGGAGGGGAAGGGCCTTACCGCTTGAAATCCCGCATGAGCCTCCTCCGGGCGGGGGTCGACATGCTCCACAGCTGCCCCGCGGTCCGTCTGAAAGAAAAGAGTCCCGCGCGGCCCCCCCACCCCCCGGCACGGCGGCCGAATCACTGCGGGTCACCGCCACGGAGGCTGCACAAACAACCCGCAATGACGTCTCCCTCCGCCGCCCCGGATCCCTCCGCCCTCCGCCGCTACCACGGCGCGAGGGGTGGGGGGAAGCGGGCGGGCACGCGGGGGAGCTCCTGCGGTGGCTTTTCAGCAAGGCCCTGCCATCTGGGCTCCCTGAGCTAACCGGAAAAGTAGTATTCTCTGGGCTCAGACGAGATAGTGTGGGCCGAGAGGCGAAAAAACCGAAACATACCCTGCTGCGTCCCCTCCCGCTAGGTTAGGTCCGGCTGAGTGGGGAGAGGGGGCGCAGGCGGGGCAGGAGATTTCAGGCGCAGGAGGTGGGATGACGTAAGGCCACGTGACCCGCCGGCGGAGGTTGTCAACAATCCGCCCCTGAGTGGGAGGTGGCGAGGTCTCTGGCACCACGTGCCCCTGTGACGTGATCAGAACTGGTAAAGTGGGAGCTGCGCCCGAGCTGAGTCTCGGCCAGGTATTTGAAGCAGGTGGTTAAACTGAACGGATGGGCACCATACATCTTTATTCTTTTTCCAGGCATTTGGCCCCCGTGAACAGGGAGGGCAATGGGAGTGGAAGAGGTTCTGGGGAAGCAAAGCATGTTTTGCCTACGTCTCTTTGAAACAAAGCTAAAAAAATAATTTGGAATTAAAATCTCCTTTGGTTGGTTCAAAAGCTTGTCAACTCTAGTACATAAAATGATGGGACCACGATTTTTTTTTTTTTTTTATCTTTCAAAACAGGCTCTCTCATATTTAGAGTTAAAATCTGCAACTTACAAAAATGCCTTCTCTTTTTGAGAAGTCCACGAGGCCCCACAGTTGAACAATGAAAAGGGAAGCTTGGTTTTCGAAAAATCTGGATGGGAACCGACAGGGAAGGACACAGCCGGTGTTAGGCCCAGACTTCGTGATCCCCAAGGACCACCAGGGAGCCGAGTCCGATGCAATAAACAAAAGAGCCTTTTCCATGTTAGCATGGGCTCTGTCCCACTCACGCCGGCAGCATGGCGGAAGAGAGCGAATTTCGCCCGGGGTTTTACTCCGGTTGGTGGTGATGTCACTGCCTTGGCTAACCCTGATTGGTTGGGTGAGGGCTAGGGTTCAAATACAGAATGGAGGATAACTCCGCCCTGCCCTCTCATTCCCCCCTTGTCTAATGTGCCTAGTCAAATCATTGACTCAGTCTACTTCCTTTCAGCATAAACAACAAATACAGTTACCAAGACCCTTAGTACCACAGATCCCATCAGTATTGTCCTCACTGAGGTATTGAATGCTGAGACCCATACAAAATAAAATGCCCTGAACTACTTCCTTAGGGGCATTACAGTGGGGTTTCCAGGGTTGGAAATTATGGGCAAAGGTAAAAGAACGGTGTAGATTCAGATCTGGGGAACGGATCATGGAGACATGAATGGGGATTTTATATCTAGCCTGGATAACTCATTTCAGGTCTTCCACATTAGCTTTTTAGATGCAGATGTACCAGAAATGCTCCCCACAGCTTCAGGCAGGGCTGGGAGAGGATAGGAGAGCAGCTCAAAGTTATTGACTCTGGTAGAGCAACCTGAACCTTTTCCTATATATTAGGGTAATTCTTCAGCCCAAACCAGAATGAGAGGGTAGGATGAGGGCCTTAGCATTGCCCCAAACTGCCCATAGTTAAATGGAACCAGAGAGGGTTAACTTTCTCCACTTTCCTGGTATCTCCTGGACAAAAAAGGAGCCACATACTAAAACCAGCAAATTTAGGGGAGGCCTGCATGTCAAGTTTTACAATCTTAGAGACCTGAAGTAGCCATAGAAAAGTGTCTGAAATGAAAACTTCCTAAAAGGGAGCCATGGAAGGTAGTCATGTCCTAGGCCTATTGTCTTTTTGCATCTATGATAACATACCTTTGTTATGTCAGAGTAATCATCTTTTTCCAGACCCCTGGGGCATAATCGTGCACCAGAGCTTGAGACCACTGAACCCCTCATTGTCATCTTTTCTCCACATACCATGATTATGTACTGTAAGTGTTCCATTATCCTGAACCCACCAATGTAAAAGAAGTATTTGAGTCTCTGATATACTTTTTATCCAATCTCGGAGATTTCCTCTATCTGAGTTCTACCATCTCCCTAATCACCAATGGATTTCATATAACCCCCTTACATTTTCTCCTTTGATTCTGATGAATAAAGTAAATGGTAAAAGTGCCATTTTTCAGGAACATTTTCTCAATCTGATGAGAGATTTTGTTTCCTGGCAATTGTCGGTTTGGCTCAAATAAACTCATTAAAATTCGGGACCTTTTTAAAACACTGCGGGATGAGGAACAAATTGTTAAAAATCGGAACTGTCCTGCCAAAAGTGGGACGTCTGGTCATCCTACCATACTGTGACAGTATTAGAATAAACACTCATATGAGTCAACCCAGACTCTGCTTAATTGGATCAAGTAGTGATAGGCAGCCGGGATCCATTGGTCCCAGCCCAAAACCATTGGTTGTTCAGTTTCAAAACCATGACCTGATCAGCATGGCTCAGTGGTTGCATGTCGACCTATGAACCAGGAAGTCACTGCTCAATCCCTAGTCAGGGCACATGCCCAGGTTGCAGTCTCAATCTCCAGTGGGGGACATGCAGGAGGCAGCTGATCAATGATTCTCTCTCATCATTGATGTTTCTCTCTCCCTTGTTCTTCCTCTCTGAAATCAATAATATATTAAAAGAAAAAGATAACCATGACCACCTCTCCCTCCCCTCCCACTCTTCTCTCAATATAAATTTAAGCAGCATTGAAACGTTTCAGAAGCTTTAAAAATACCAATTCCTTTATCCTTTCTCATTTAAATTAGGGTCTCGGGTGGGATCTTTTTAAAAGCTCACCAGATATAATTTTAATATGCATGGTGGGTGGAACCAACTGAACTAGAATTTATTGGATAATGGTATTTACTCATTTAGGGAAACAGTGAGATTTAGCTCTTTAATATTTAAATTTATTTTTACAGACAAAAATAGTGAAATCCCTAAGAAAGTGGGCACTAGTTCGAGTGATATCCTTGTTTTCCATTGGAGGCTGGAAGGCCAGCAGGACCTCATTCTAGTATTAAGCAATTAGGTAACAGCTTTCCTCCCCTATACCCTAGTTACTAGTACGTTAATCCACGTGTGCTAGAACCTGTTGAAATATTTCCTACCCCAAAAAGGAAGTTTTACAGTTTTGACACACAGTTTTCTTAAAAAGGATAACTATGAGCTTGAAAAAAATAATTTTTTAAGCGAATTGCAGAAATGTTCTTGATGTACGAAGCATCTCCTTTCCATTTTAAGGATGAAATGTGGACAACTGAACCCAAATTAGTCTATGGACTTATTTACATAACTAGGTAACTTAGAAAACTACAATTACACTAGACTTGCTTGGAAGTCTCCTTTTTTCAAAAAGTCTCTACTAAATGACACCAGCCATCCTTTTAGGACCTAGCAGAAGCGCAGGTGTTCTCTAGCCCGAGGACAATGGGAGGCCGGTTGGACCAGCCTCCGCCGCGGTTCCTCTCTTCCAGGGTATTTGCCGTCATTCACGCCTCCGTCAAAATTGCTGATGCACGCCCCTCCACCCCCCGATCTCCACCCTAAACCATCTTTGTGACGAGAACCCAATTTGATCCCCACTTCCACCCCTAAACGAGCTTCCACTCTGTTGTGCACCCATGGAACTTGTCTTTTCCGCTACCTCTCATTCCTCTTCCGGGTCAGGCCAGCCCAGCCTGGGTTCCGGTCTTGCGCACTAGGCTCCGAACGCGAGGCCGGCGGCCCCGTTGCCATGGGAGCGGGTGGTGGGGAGCTAGTGGGACTACGCGGGGCGGACCTTCGGGGCTACAGAATGGGCTGAGGTGGTGGCGGCTGCCCGGACGAGGCCGTCTGCTGGGCGTGGGGTGCGACACCGATCCGGTACCCGAGGTTTTCTTGAGTTCCGGGGACTGGCCTGCGGGCCACTGCAGTATTGCGGGTACCTCCTATTTGACGGGCATGACCGGAAGTGTGAGGGTGACCCTCCGCCCCGTGGATTGTGACGCGCAGTGAAGGAATCCTAATACTTAGTGTTGACGGGAATGACCGAGGCAGCTGGAGGCTCCTGAGAGCTGGAGCCCCACAAGTACAACTGACTATCGGGCTGGCAGTTTCCAAAGACAAACGGTGTCTGTGGAAAAGATTCCTATTTTTTTTTCTTCTATGTTTCTGTATTTTAAAGTATGGGTTTATTGTGGAACTGCATTATCCAACTTCAATAAATATTATTAAAATGTTTAACATTTTCTTTATTTCTGTGAAGAAGCAGGGCTTAAGAATGGATATGTATGAAACTCTTGGAAAAGTGGGAGAAGGAAGTTATGGAACAGTCATGAAGTGTAAACATAAGGATACCGGGCAGATAGTGGCCATTAAGATATTTTATGAGGCACCAGAAAAATCTGTCAACAAAATTGCATCGAGAGAAATAAAGTTTCTAAAGGTTTGCTTCTTTTGCCTTAATTGCTCTTTAAATTGAGAGAGAAATAGTTATGGAAAAAAACTAAAGAATATATCGGTTAACACATGTTATTAGGACAGGTGATAGAAAAACAAGTGTGATACCCTATCCGTGGTCGGCAAACTGCGGCTCGCGAGCCACATGCGGCTCTTTGGCTCCTTGAGTGTGGCTCTTCCATAAAATACCACGGCCTGGGCGAATCTATTTTGAAGAAGTGGCGTTAGAAGAAGTTTAAGTTCAAAAAATTTGGCTCTCAAAAGAAATTTCAACCATTGTACTTGTTGATATTTGGCTGTTGACTAATGCATCTGCCGACCACTGCCCTACCTAATTGTCCACATTTTGTAATTTTATAGTGATACAAAATCTTATGTATACTATAACAAAAGTTATACCAAATATTGTGAAATAATTATTCTGAAATATCCAGATATATTATTCATAAAAATGTGTACTTTGTGCAAGACATTGTGCCAGATGCTAAGACTAATGAGGTAAAAGACAGTACCTGCTCTCAGGCCTTTTATTATTTAATCAGAGAGACAGGAGGACATATAATACTGAATAAAAAGTGGCTCATAAGAAGTGCCAAGTGATTAACACCAAGTCCTATAGGGCAGTGATGGTTTCTTGGAAGAATTGGGACATGATTTTAGCTTTAAATGATGCATAGGATTTATGTAAGAGGGAGAAACTGTTGTATAATACCGTAGGTTAGTGGAACAGCATACACTCAGAGAGGCTAAAGCAGGACAAAGATAAAGAGCAGAGTGGAACACCAGCCAGTTTGGCTCAGTGGATGGAGCCTCAGCCTGAAGACTGAAGGGTTCCAGATTTGATTCTGGTCAGGGCATGTACCTCAGTTGTAGCCTCCTGACCCTGGTTGGGGGCATGCGGGAGGCAACCAATCAATGTGTCTCTCTTACATTGGTGTTTCTCTTTCCCTCTCCCTTTCACTCTCTCTAAAAATCAATGGAAAAAATATCCTCAGGTGAGGTTTAAAAAAAAGGAGCATAGTGGAATGGACAAAGAGCAAAGGCATTAGCCCTGTAGAATTTTCTGTACCGAAATAGAGGTAGACTTATAGAGCTAAGTTGGATGTAGGTTTTTAAGTATTTAAAATATATATCTATTTTTATTGATTTTAGAGAGGAAGGGAAAAGGAGAGATAAAACATCAATGATGAGAGAGAATCATTGATCGGCAGCCTCCTGCTTGCCCCGGGCATGTACCCTTGAACAGAATCAAACTTGGGACACTCTATCCACTGAGCCAAATCAGCCGGGGCAGTTTTTAAGTCTTGTCTTTTGGGCTAAGGAGTTAAAATTTGAATTTGTGAGAGGACAAAGGTTTTGAATTTAGAGTAAAGAAACTATAAATACAAATGTGGCACTATTTTTTAGAAAGGATTGGAGGACTCCAAGAGTAACAATAGGGAGGCCTGTTATGTGGATTTAATTCAGGAATACTGGTAGATCTCATGAAGAACCCTACAGGATTATGGCAATTTGAATGGAAAATAAAACATGATATACTGCAAAAGACACAAAGATTTCTTTGAGGTTCAGTGAGTACTGTCATGGAAGTTTGAAACACCCCAAGAGACATAGTTTGGGAGCTAGTTCAGTTTTAGAAATTTGTTGAATTTGTCTTAGCCAGTTTGGCTCAGTGGAGAGAACAGCAACCTGCAGACTTAAGGGTCCTGGGTTCTTTTCCAGTCAAGGGCACATTCCTTGGTTGCAGGTTTGATCCATTCAGGGCACTTTTGGAAGGCGACCAATCTATGTGTGTCTCTCATATTGATGTTTCTCTTTCTCTGTTTCTCCCCCTCCCTTCCACTCTCTTTTAAAAATCAATGGGAAAAATATCCTCAGGTGAGGATCAACACAAAACAGAAAGAAATGTTGTATTTAAAGTGACAGGAGTACATTTAAGTAAAGTTGGCCAGTGGGCTCTTAGAGATGGGGAACAATATCAGGAGAGATCAGGGCAGGAGATAGGATGACAGGTGAGCCTAGGGGAAAGTACTCCTGAGTGTAAAGAAAGGAGCATTAAGACCCCTTGGTGCTTGAGTACAAAACTAGTGATTTAAGTATATATGTATTTTATAAATTAGAATTTATCTAGATGCTTTAAGGTTTATGACTTTGACAATGTAGTCTAAATGTTTTGTTTAATGAAAAAAACATACTCTGTTTACTCATTTTATCTGACACAAAAGTAATATTATTCTATTTCTTTGTAAGTGTATATTAGGTATGGTGTATCAATTAAAAATAGAAGAAATATATTAGGTGTCTGTGTATTGTTGGAACTGTTCTATTTCTTGAAAATGAAAAGGAAAGTTAAAGTCAGTAAAGATGTTATAATTTTGTCATCATTTTGTCATCATTATTCTGATGACTCAAAACATATTAATACTGTAAGGCAACTATTATGCACTGTAAGTAAGTAATCTGATTAGAAGAAGACCTTTTCCCAGGTAATACCTTTCACTCTTTCTATTGCATTTAAGCTGATTGTTTTTTATACTTAGTAATTTTTAAAAGTCAATAATGTCATGGCAAGAGCACAGGGATGAATTTGAATGTTATAGCTATTACAAATATTATACAAACTATTTTGAAACAGCTTAACTATTTGTATTGGCTTATTTCTTATAGAATTTTTAATTTAACCTAATTCTACAAGAGATATTTCTTGGATTAGATAACAATTCCTAATTTAAAAAGATAGTCATAATGACTTAACTTGAACTAAATTTTTATCTTCTAGAATTTCACTAAATAAATGACAGTAATTAGTGAAAATATCTGTATAAAAGTTGTCTAGTAATGAAGGAAAATAAACAGCTTGAAAAGGGGTAAGGGTGCATTTCTAGGGGTTTCATGATTTGAGAGTATACCTGATTCCTCATCCCTGGGGATCTTCCCTAATGATTATTAATTTCCATTAACCTTTTGCTGCTTTTGCCTTTAAAATAAAGACTGGATAGAAAACCCATAATTTTCCTTAGTTGAAAGATTAATGTCCAAAAGCAGTCATTTCTTTTTGCTATTGCCAGTATGCTGTTGCAGTAGCACTCCGGCATGTTGCTCACAAGGAAAATTGGGAGCAAAAGTAAGAAAGGCATCTGGCATTGTATTTTGACATGTTTTTCTATTAGTCACATTTTAAGGTCTGGTTTACATATTAATACAGGTAAGCAGAGAAATTGCTAATATCCCCTCAGAACAAAGGCAAATAATTTTTATAAAGTATATTTTTCTAATTAATCTAACATTGAAAATATACCCCATAGTTTTTAGCCAAATAAATATTTTTGGTCATTTGAAAAAGTTAAATATCTCAGAGTTTATTGTAATTAAATCAATGTGTTACAAAATAGAATAAACAGCATAAAATATTAAAATGTCATTCCTTTTTTAAGCTCATGCATACCATTTTTTATATTTTAAAATTATTATACCAGTCTAAAAAGATGTCTTATTGCTTAATAGAATAATAGACTATTATTTTATTCAAATAGAATAGCATAATGCTTAATGGACTAGAACAAAAATGTACACATAAATAATGGTATATTTATGTAACATCCTTATGGCTATAAATACGTATTTCACATATCTGACAGTTTCTAGATATTCTGATACTCTTTTGTTACAGTGTGATTATAATGTCCTTCCTGGAACTTAGATTTTACTCTCAAGAGTTTAGGATCAAACTCAAAGAATAATTTATACACATTCAGATCACATACTCAGTAGCATTGAACACAATGCTCATTTGAAAATATAGGGACCTTTTAAATTTCAGATGTTAAATTTAACCACAAATCAAGTTAAAAGATAGGAAGATATCTCTTAGCAGCATACCAAGTTGCATTATAGTACATTAAATTATTTTATTAAAAAATCAAGCAAATGTTAACTTGAAGTCAAGCTATACATTTCCCTTTGTACTATAAATATTATGAAATATTCTTAAAATAGGAATATAAGCAAATCATTTGGGAAGTTTCTGTTGAAATGCATGAAGAAAAGAAGCTGAGAATATTTCTGCTTCATTTAAAAATGATATAGTTGTTATATGTATAAATTATTGTGCATGAAATAATTTATTAAAATATGTTTCTTTGTCAATAGCAATTTCATCATGAAAACCTGGTCAATCTGATTGAAGTTATTAGACATAAAAAGAAAATTCATTTGGTATTTGAATTTATTGATCACACTGTATTAGATGAGTTACAACATTATTGTCATGGACTAGAGAGTAAACGACTTAGAAAATACCTCTTCCAAATCATTCGAGCAATTGAATATCTTCACAATAATAACGTAAGTGCTGCAGAATAAGCCAAACTATAAAATGTATATGAATGATAAGTGCCCTTTAAATATTGTTCTGTTTTGACTGTTGAACCTCAGAGGGAAGGCAGGGGAATGTGAGTAGATAGAGATCAACCAATGAACTTCACTGAGCTTCATTTTCTTTGTCTGTGAGATGATACGATAGTACCTCACAGGTTTTTTTGTAAAGATCAAATTAGGTAGTAGGTATAAAGTGTTTAGCACTGTATCAGAGTCAGGAATAGTCATGTTATCTGTAGTCCTATACTGCCTTGTAGACTTTAAAATGTTTTTTGAAAAAGGGAAAAAACAGTATGGGCTAGACTGAGAGTAGAAGACTTCGAAGAAGAGCTAAAACTAATATAAGTACAGTTTTGAACTGTAACTAAAAAAGAAAATATATTCAAACGAGAAACCAATATAATAGAGGAAAATCTTGGCAGGGGATATCAGAGAGTGGCAATAAGTGCACTTACAGAGATAGGAAAAGGGAGCTAAGATTGCACAAGTACCCAGGCGAGAGGTTTGCCAGAGGCTTGAAATTCATCCTGAGGAGTTGTGGAAGTAAAAATAGATCAATGTAGTTGTATAGATGGTACCTTTAAGATGGCCCTAACATTACCCTAGGTTAATTTTTTTTGGCCATTTGTGGAGGAAGACGAAGGCAGAAGAGCCAACACCAAAGACATAGCAATTAAGTTATATAAACAAAGAAAAATCCCAGATTTCTGTCACTGAGATATCTTCACTTGTGCTATGATACTTTTCCAGTGGTGAGAACACACTTCATTGATTTGATAAAGTTTTAAAATGCCTTATTTGTTTTAAGCACTGTACTTATTTGTTTTAAGCATGGTAATATAGCTTAAACAAGACATATATCTTGCCCTCATGGAGCTTACAAGTCTGGTGGGAGTTACAAATAAATAGGCAATTAATAATATAGCCTGACGAATATTGTAATGGGTAAGTGCAGAATGATGTGAGAACAAATGGAAGGAACATCTAATATAAACATCACAAATGCATAGATTACACAAATCCTGGAAAACTGGGAAACTAATATTCTAGGGAAAGAAGTTGTAGCCCTAGCCAGTTTGGCTCAGTGGATAGAGCATTGGCCTGCAGACTTGAAGGGTCTCAGGTTTGATTCTGGTCAAGGACATATTCACAGGTTGCGGGCTCGATCCCCAATCATTGATATTTTTATCTCTTCCTCTCCCTTCCTCTCTTAAATAATAATTTAAAAATTTTTTAAAAAGAGGTTGTAGAAAGTTGAGAAGGTGGGTAGGGTTCAAATCCTACAAGGCTTTATAAGCCATTTTAAGGAGTTACAAATTTGTTATGTGGGTTGGGGCATCCTTAAAAGATGTTAAACAGAGAAGTGACATAATCACACATGATTTTAAAGTAATACTGTGACTTCATTGTGGATAGGGGATCAGAATGAATGCAGGGAGACTAGTTAGTAGAGTAATTTTCAGTGAGAGAGCTGAGGGGACTTGAATTAGAGAGAGAGATTTAGGTAGGTTAAGAGTATATGGGAACTGAGGAAGAAAAATGGTTTCTGGCTTGACCCATTTGCTTAATGAAGTTAGTTCCCTTCACTAAGCAAAAGCAGTATTGAGAACAAATAGCTTTGGGGGCAATGGTGCATTTAGTTTTGGATTTGTTGAGTGGAACTTCTTATGGAATTCAACTCCTTGTGGAAATCAGGAGAGATATCTAGAAATAGAAATTAGACATAGAAAGTTGGAAATCATCAGTATATGGATAATTAATAAAGTTATAAAAGTAGATGAGGAGGAGATGAAAAAGTCAGTAGTTGGGAAGAAGCCCAAGAGAGTATGGTATCCCCATAACCAAGTGAAGAAAGTGCCCCCCCCCAAAAAAAAAAGTACATGAGATTTCCCAGGAAGCATGATGTATGAGAAGAGAAAACCGAAGATCAGAACCTGCATCTAAGGGACAGATAGAGAGAGAATTGTCACAGAGATAGAAGGAGCCTGGAAGAATTTAGGTCCTAGAAATCAAGAATGAAGGTATGGTTGGCAACATTTTTACACTAAGATATAAAGTAAGATAATGTATTGAGGAGTATTGGTTGGACTAGCAACAATTAAGTTGTTTGATGCTGGCTCAGGCAGTTTAATGAAACATTTCAGCAGAAGACAGATTTCATTACTTTGAGTAGTAAATGATCATAAAGTGAAGAATGAGTAAAGATGATGTCAGCAAGAGATTTATTGTGAAGAAAATGAGAGAAATGGTAGTACTTGGGATGTGACATGGGGTTAAAGGAAAGTTAAACTTTTTTCAAGTTCTTTTGATTACTTTTCTTTTTAGGAATGTGATTTACCTTTTTAGTATTATACTTGTTTTTTTTGTTTGTTTGTTTGTTTGTTTGTTTTTTGCTCCCTGTCATTTTGAGATAATGTATGAGGCAAGAATCAAAAATGTATAACTTTAGCTTTTGCATTGTGTGGTTAATCCTTTGCATGGGTTAAGAAAATACCTTTACTGCCTTAATTAGCTAGATTTTCTCTGTATAATTTTTGAGAGCTTCTCTAGATAATGAAATTCCATTTTAATGTATTGCATCTTCTGTTTGTTTTTTAGATCATTCATCGAGATATAAAACCTGAGAATATTTTAGTATCCCAGACAGGAATTATTAAACTCTGTGATTTCGGCTTTGCACGAACACTAGCAGCTCCAGGGGATATTTATACTGACTATGTAGCCACACGCTGGTATAGAGCTCCAGAATTAGTATTAAAAGATACCTCTTATGGAAAGTATGTATATTTTAGTATCTTGCCTGGCCTTTCCCATTCACCTTCTTTTCTTTTTTTTAATTGTGGTGAATTTGTCACCCCTACTACTGACACCCTCAGCCTTCTGCATCTGAGTTGGATTTAAGAAAGGGATACCTCTACATAGAACAGAGTTCTATAGGCACCTGCGATGCTGGCTATTGATGTTACCATGCTTGCCCTCTGGAGCTAAGTAGCCCAAACCCCAGAAGACCTATGCAGAATATCCCTCAGACTATATCCTTGGCAGAGTTGTCTTATCTGCTTATGTTTAGCCTCCACAGTATACAAAGGTTTTAAAATTATTTACCTCACTCTGCCAGTGTTACTATAGGATCTGACAAGTGTCCTATTTTCTGGAATATGGCACTCCCCTTGCAAAGATTGACAAATAATGCTTTTAAAAATTATATTGTTCTGGATGCCTCAAAAGGTAGCATGGTCTCAATTTATTGTGAAACAATAGAAGCAGTATATGAAACAGCAATCTAATATACAAATAACGAATCTCAAAGTACATAAAGGGACCAAGTTGTACAACTAATACAACGAATGGAGAGGGATATTCTTGCATGTTTTTCCTAGAAATCATTATTCTATTCTGTTTTTATAGTAATATCTAATATATATATACTTAAATCCTCACCTGAGGATATGTTTTTATTGATCTGAGAAAGAGAGAAGGGAAAGGAGAGGAGAGAGAGAAAAACATTGGTGGGTTGCCTCTTGTACATGCCTCAAATGGGTATCAAATCCACAACTTGGTTATGTGCTCTCACTGGGAATCGAACCTGTCACCTTTTGGTGTACAGGATGATGCTACAACCAACTGAGCCACACTAGCCAGGGAAATAATACCTAATATTAACGAGTACCTACTTTTTGCTAGAAACTGTTCTAAATGCTTTATATGCATTAAATCATTTAATTTTCATAATTCTATGATGAAGGTGCTACTATTGTCCTCCTCATCCTATATAATAAAAAGCTAATATGCAAATGGTCATCATGCCCTCACGCCATCACACCGTGATGTCATGATTCATCACCAGGAGTCTGTGTGCATAGCAGGTACACACGGGTGGATGGAGATTTGATGTTGCGTGTGTCATGCAGAGGAAGTGGGATCCCCAGCTATGGCCTACCTCTCTAGAGAAGTCCATAGAGAAGCCCCTGATAGGTGGGTAAGGCCTACCACTTTGGAGCGATCAATTACGGGGCTCCCGCACTGTGAGAGGGCATAGGCCAGGCTGGGGAACCTCTCCCACAGTGGGCAAATTTTGTGCACCAGACCTCTAGCTTTATATAAGAGGACACTGAAGCACAGAAAGGTAAACTAATTTACCTGAAGTCACTCCAAAGTACCTTTTCTACTGTACTTATCACTGATGCCTTACTCAAACTATCTCTCTGCTTCAATTACTTTATCTGAATATTGCAAATAGTAACAGGATCAGCTTCATGGAATTGTTCTGAGGTTTAAATGACTTAATGAATAAAAAAACATTAAAATATAGTAAATTCTCAATGAATGTAGCTTCCATCAAATCTATGTCCCAGTTTTATCCTCTCTTCATGATGTTGCTTAAATTCCTTTTCTGATACATCCCCATTCCTTATTCCTTGCCCCCAAATCATATCCCTTTCTAAACCTTCATGTACATTGTAAGTTTTGTGCCAGTAATATTTAATGTGACCTAGTTCTACTCTAATTATTGTTCTTTAAAATATTTCTTGCTGAAAGATAAGTTTCTTGCAGATAAGAATAATCTCTGTACTTCACAGAGCCAGCATTGCTTCCGTGTACATGGCAAGTTTGGATTCTGTGAGGCTTCATTCACATTGTATTTAAAATAAATTTGTTCATGAGTGTTTTTTTTAAATCTTTTTATTGTAAAACAAAATACAGATATCAGAAAACTTCACACAACAAATGTATAGCTCTACCACTAAATCAAAGAATAAAATTTTGTTGGCCACCTCAGAAGACCCTCCATGGGCCCTATTCCAATTATAACATTTTCCCTTCCCCCCAAAGTAACCATGATATTGACTTTTATTTTAATCAGTTACTTTACATGTCTTTGTACTTTATACTTTTATCACCCAAAAGTATATTACTTAGTTTAATCTAGTCTTTTTTTAATCCTTAACTGAGGACATGTTTTTATTAATTTAGAGAGAGAAGAAGGGAAAGAGAGAGAGAAACATTGATGTGAGAGAAAACATTGATTGTTTGCCTCTCATAAGTGCTGTGAACAGGGATGGAACCTGCAACCTACATATGTGCCCTGACTGGGAATTGAACCAGCAACCTTTTGGTGTATAGGACAACGCTCCAATCAACTGAGCCACTGGTCCAGTGGGATTTATCCCAGAAACAAATGTTTGTTTGTTTGTTTGTTTGTTTGTTTTTAAATAGAGTGAGAGAAACATTGATTTGTTGTTCTACTTATTTATGCATTCATTGGTTGCTTCTTGTATGTGCCTTCATTGGGGATTGAACCTGCAACATTGACCTATCAGGATGATGCTCTAACCAACTCAGCTACCCAGCCAGGGGAATCTAGTCTTTTTTTATGTCAGTTTTTTTGAGATATGATTTGCATATCATAAAATTTACCCATTTAAAGTGTACAATTCAGTGATTTTAGTATATTTACAGACTTGTGCAACTATCACCACAATCAATTTTAAAACATTTTCATCACCTCAAAAAGAAACCTTGTACCCATTAACAGTCACTCCCCATTTCCTCCCAACCATTCTAGGCCCTAGCAATCTATTTTCATTCTCTATGAACTTGGTTGGTCTAGACATTTAATATAAATGGAATTATGCAATACCTGGTCCTTTAAGACTTTTTTTTCTTTTTTTTTTTTTAACATATTTTATTGATATTTCACGGAGAGGAGAAAGGGAGAGAGATAGAGAGCTAGAAACGTCGATGAGAGAGAAACATCAACCATCTGCCTCTTGCACACCCCCTACCGGGGATGTGCCCGCAACCAATGTACATGCCCCTGACCGGAATCGTACCTGGGACCCTTCAGTCCACAGACCGACGCTCTACCACTGAGCCAAACCAGCTTCGGCAAGACTTTTTTTTCACTTAGCATAATGTTTTCAAGGTTCCTGTGTGTCATAGCATGTATCAGACTTAATTTCTTTAAGTCTTGATTACTGTAGCTTTACAGTAAGTTTCAAAATGAGATCTTGTCTCTCTTCTGACTTTGTTATTCTTCAACATTGTGTTGGCTATTCTAGGTCTATTGCCTTTCCATATAAATTTTATAATCAATTTATTGATATGCACATTGGATTTTGATTGGGGTTACATCGAATCTATAGAGCAAGTTGGGAAACATGAAATATCTCTCCATTTATTTATAACTTCTTTGATTTCTTTAATGAAGTTGTTTTTTTCACTTGAGAGTTTATCTTTTTATTTATTTATTTATTTATTTATTTATTTATTTATTTATTTATTTTGCCCCCCTCCCTCCCATACATCCCTCCCTCCCCAGAGTTTTATGTCCATTGGAGAGTTTATCTTAGAGATCATTTTATATTAGCACACGTTTAGACCTATATTATCCTTTTTAATAGCTGAATAATATTTCATTGTGTGGTTGTACAAAATTTTATATATCCATTTCTGTATGGATGGACATTTAGGTAGCTTCCAATATTTTCTACCACAAACAGTGTTGCTGTGAAATTTTATCATCTTTGTGTACATGTGCAAATAAATTATTTTTTTAGCCACCGCTTTATTCCCAATAGCTAACCTACAGAATGTATATTTAAAGGTAGATTGCTAAAATAGAATTTGCAAATCCATTCAGTAAAATTTTTATTGAAAACTTCTATCTTTTCCAATGCATGATAAATAATAAATCTTCTTTATGGATAAAGAACAAAAAAAGTAAGTTCAATGCAGGCAAATGCAGATGGAACTTATATTTTGGGCCAGGAGAGTCAGGGCAGAAATGCAGGCCAGAGGACTGAGAGATGATTTCCATAGAAAGTACTTCGACAGGGAACAGTTGTTTGTCCTGTAAAGAGATTGAACACAATCACATTTTTAATCTCGTCATTTTAAATAATCTCAACTTGTCCATTCCCTAGCGTTGTTCTTTTTCCTTTTTAGCTTGCCATGCAATATCAGGAAGTGGATTTCCTGAGGAACTGAGTTAAGTTCCATCTGCTTTTCTTCTTACGCTATTGAGTCTTGCAACTGGCAGTGGAGGGAAGTAAAATAGACAGTGTCTGGTGCCTTATCCACCTTTCATATGTTCTATTTGAAGTTTAGTTGTGTGTGTTTTTTTGACTCATCAGTGGTAGGATATAAAATGTGGGTAAGTTATTACAGTTTTTAAAAAACATAATTTCCCCTTTACATTTGTTAACCCTGTTAGAAATAAGACAAGACCCAAACCAGGGGTCCTGGCAGAATTCAAAAGATACTCATGAGCCAGATAACTGCAGAAATAAATTTTAAAAATAAATTTCTAGGAATAAAGTTATTTGGTCAAATGTATATACATTTTTATCTTGGTAGCTTTTTCCAATTTTCCCTCCAAGAAATTGTGTAAGTTTATATTCCTAGAACAGTACATGGGAGTGTTTATTTTCCATAGCCTCACCAACAGTTATCAATCTTATAATTTTTAATCAGTTGTATCAGTAAAAAAATAGAGCTCATTGTAGTGTTTATTTATATCTCTTTCTGGATGTGACAAGATTTTTAGTTTTTACTTTTTAAATACAAGATGATTTTATTATCTAATTCTAATTCATAACCATTTATATACTAATATATAAAAGCCCAGTGACTGCAATAGCAGAACAACCAGAATAACCAGATTGACTGGTAGCTATAGTACACTGTGGCAGCCAACCAGCCTGATCTGGACCCAGATTGGCCCACCTCTGCCAGCCCGGCCCCCAATAGCCTCCCAATACCCCAATCAGGGGCGGGACCAGCCAGCAACTGCCTGTGGCCCCTCCCTCCTGCTGGCCTGGCCTGATGGGCCTCCCTTGGGGAGGGCCAGCTGGATCCCACCCATGTACAAATTCATGCACCAGGCCTCTAGTTTATCATAATGTTATGTATAAGTATTTTAAACAATTTTAGAATTAGTTACTTTTTATCTGGACTGCTACATAACTTCTCATGCAGTTTAAATATAATCTATTTAGTGATATTAGTAAAATGTGATAATATTTAATGTGTATACTAAAGTTGCCATATGCTATTTTAAAAAGTGAATTTTAAAAATGATACCACTTATCCACTCTTTTTTCTTTGTCCCTAACATTATTTTAAACGTTGTTTTTAGAAAAGATAGCTTATGTGTTTCTCTATGAAAAAGTGATTGATTCTTATCTGTTTCAGACCTGTGGATATCTGGGCTTTGGGCTGTATGATCATTGAGATGGCCACTGGAAATCCCTTTCTTCCTAGCAGCTCTGATTTGGATTTACTTCATAAAATTGTTTTAAAAGTAGGTAAGTAGATATTATTGATATGTATTGTTAAATGCCTAAAATAAGTACTTCCAGATCAAATTTGCTTGATTTTCAAATTTAGTTTTCTCATTATAAGAACCAGGAAGCATATTCTTTTGATAGATGCAACAGATGCATGCCTTGAGCTGATTTAAAAAAAAAAAAAAAAGTAGAAAATTCTCCTCTGTTATTACAAATAATATTTTTTGCCAGGATGCAAATAGGTAAGCCATATGTTGATGTTGTTGGTAAGAAAGATAGTACAATAGGAATCTTCTTCAATTTGTTAGAATATTGTTTAAAATTTTTGGCTTCTATAAAGATTTGCATATCTTGCTATGCCTGTGTAGTTTAGTAGTTGAGCATCGATCCAATGAACCAGGAGGTTATGGTTCCTGGTCAGAGTACATGCCCAGGTTGTGAGTTCAGTCCCCAGTGTGAGGCATGCAAGAGGCAGCTGATCATTCATGTTTCTATCTTTCTCTGAAATTTAAAATAAAGAAATAAATATTTGCATATCTAAAAGACTTTTAAATAATAGATTTAATTTAGATGCTTTTTAAAAGCACTTGGAGATAGGAAGTCAATTATTTGCTGAGAAAACATTTTTTAACTATACTAGATAACCAAATAGCTAAATAACTTATTCAAAAATATATTTAATGAAAGCTGAATTATTTGATTATCTGTTTGAACAACCAAGCATTTTGATGGATATCCTTGCTCATGAATTTTCAATAATCTCATATATATATATATATATATATATATATATATATATATATATATATTTATGAATGAGGCAGCTGGATGAGCCCTTTTTGTGGTAGGGAAGCTATACATAAACATGTAATTACAAGATCATGAGAAAGGTAATGTGAACAACTATAAAAATCATGAAATATGGATAAATATTGATTAAAGATATAGTTCAGAGCCTTAAAGCATCACACTTTTTTGTGTCATCTTTAATATTCTGAGATTAATGAGATTAATGTTAGGAGCAACCTTAGAGATGATGGGATCCATTTTGTCTTTTCCAGATGAGGAAACCAAAGCAAAGAGAGGGAGGAGAGTTGCCCAAGGTCACAGAACTAGTTGCATAGCCAAACTGGTACTAACTAGAAATTAGCTCTCTCCACTCCTATTTATAGTTCTACTACTACTCTTTAGCCTTGTTTTTTCTTTGCAATATCTATAATAAATAATTTTAATATGTTAGCTTTTCTGAGTAAGGCTTTTTTGATTAACAATTGCCAGTTAATCCATTTAGATACTCATATGGAAATATGTAAAAGTTTAGATTTGTCTTTTCTGATAGCATTACATATTATGTATTTTATTTTGTAAAAAGAAAATTAACCAGGTCATTTTACTTTCTGTACTGTCTACATGTACTGTCAACAGATTACTGGGGAAACTTTAACTTTTATGCTATATTCAGATAGTTCCTTGTTCAACTTAAAAACTACTGTAGCTTTGAGTATTGGCCTGCGCACCAAAGGATCTTGGGTTCAATGTGTGCAGTCAAAGGGACATGCCTGGGTTGCAGGTTCAATCCCTGGTTGAGGTGTGTGCAGGAGCAACCAATGTGTCTCTCTCACTTCGATGATGCCTGCCTGTCTGTCTCTCTCTCCCTTCCTTTTTCTCTCTCTCTCTTTTTCCCTTCCTTACTCTTTCTAAAAATAAGTGGAAAAAATATCCTCTGGTGAGGATTAACAAACAAAACAAAGCAAAGCAAAACAAAAAGTAAAATAATTAAAATAACATAATTGTTATTATCTCTTTTTAGTAACATAATAAAGAGCACATAGCAATTTGATTATTTTGATTTAGACTAATTTCTGTGTTTTCTTATATATTTTTCTCTTTTTAGGCAATTTGACACCTCACTTGCAGAATTTCTTTTCCAAGAGTCCTATTTTTGCAGGGGTGGTCCTCCCTCAAGTTCAACACCCCAAGAATGCAAGAAAAAAATACCCAAAGCTAAATGGATTGTTAGCAGATATAGTTCATGTATGTTATGAAAGTGAGGACTTGTTTCTGGGAAATTTGCATAAATTATAATACAGTTTTAGGATATTACTTCAATGAAATTTGAAAAAGATTCATAAAAATAATGGTATCTGTTAAAAGTTACTATATTCCTGTCTTTGTGTTTAGCTCAGAGAAAGTAAAATTCCTAGACTATTAGAACTGAAAGCCACCTAGGATAATCATGTTTATTATTTTTAGTTTATTCCAATTTTAATGATAATTATGGATACTAGAAATATTCTAAAGACTTACCATCTTTTAATTATAACCATCTTTTAATACCCAAGTTAGGGATCTATTCTATGTACAGTGGTATTCTAAGGTATCTACATGGTTTTGGCAGCTGCAGTTAAAATAATATTGTATTAATATTATAAAATAATATTGTAAAATAATATTGTTGTAAAATATTATTGTAAAATAATATTGTATTAATAATAAAATAATATTAAAATAATATTGTTTGAGGACACACCAATGCCAAAATGCAACTTGAATTGGAGGGAAAAATTTTATAGCACTTTTAAATTATTTTAAAATTTAAATTTTGTTTCAAAGTAGGTAATAAGTATACCAATACACTCACTGCAAAGTTCAAAAGGTAAAAGAGTTAATGTGAAAAGTAACTTCCTACTAATTTCTTTTATCCAGCCAATTTTCTTTCCCAGCATCAACAAAGGTACCTTATTCCTAAAGTATAGCCCTTTAAAAAAAAAAAGGTGGTTATCTAAATTTCAAAGCAAGTACAATGCAATGTTTATAAAAAGGGACTCTGGAATCACATAAACTACATTTAAAACCCAGATCTATCACTAATTAGCTATGAAACCTTGGGCAAGTCATTTAATCTCTGTGCCTCAGTTTACTAGGCTATAAAACAACATTAACTATTTATTTTCTGGGGCTAGAGGATTAAATGAGGTAATAGTGGCAATGTTTTGAGCATAGGGCCTTGAATAAGCTATCAACAAATGTTGATATTGTTGTTGCTGTTATTTAGAAAAACTTAAACATATGTGATATCTAAAGACTATTCTTGAAGGAAAAAAATATATTTTATTGGTACCTGGAGACTAGAATTTATTAAGGATCGGATTTGTTTACTACATTTTCAGTTTAATTTTTTTTCATAGTTTTAATTATACATAAAATATATAATGATTATAGAAAAAGTAGAAAATACATGATAAAAAATAGAAGTTAAGATTTTTCTAACTCCCATAATCCAATAAAATATTACTATTAACATTTTGGCTTATATACTTTCAGACTGCCCAACAAATATATGCTTAGAAATTTATGCTTTTTAAGTGCTGCCTTTGGCTACAGACCTGATACATGTAAACCTCGGTTCTATCAGTTTCCAGTCATGGGAGTTGTGGTACAGTGGGAAATATATACAGTCATGTGCCACATAACATTTTGGTCAACTACAGACTGCATATATGGTGATCCATTAGGATTGTAGTGGTGCTGAAAAATCCCTAGATTGTTAACCTAGCTGAAAAATGCCTAATGATGCTATAGTCATTATAAGACCAGATCATAGTACAACTCATTACTCATGTGATTGTGGTGATATTGGTGTAAACAAACTTACTGAGCTGCCAGTTGTATAAAAGTATAGCATATACAATTATGTTTAGTACATAATACTTGATAATAAATGATTAAATTACTGGTTTATGTAAAAAAAAAATAGAAATTTAAGCTTTTTAAAAGGTACCATACTTTACACACTATTAGGTAACTTTTTTACCTTCACTTAGCATTATATTATAAACCTGTTACCATATTAGCAAATATGGAACTACATCATAATTTTCTGTTGTTGCATAGTGTTTCATTGTATGACTATACCATAGTTTATTTAGTTGATCTTGCAATTTTAGACATTTGTTTTCAGCTACAAAGAACATCTTTTATATCTGTCTTTCTGAATTTGCTTTGTTTTTGTTTAGGATAAATTTCTAAAGTGTGAGTAGTGGGTGAAGGGTTTATACTTTTTAGAACTTTTGTTGTATTTTGCTATTTTTTTCTCCAGAAAGATTTTACTGATTTATACTAAAGTTCTCTCATGTAGCATTGGATATAAATTCCCACTCTTAATCTAGCATTAGATGTTATAATTTTGAAAAATATTTGCTAATTTAATAGACTAGAAATAATCTCTTTTTTTTGGTATTGTTAATCCTCACCTAAGGATGAATGGAGGAGAAGGAGGGAGCAGGGTTGGAGATGGGGAGATGGAGGGGAGAAAGAGAAAGAGGGGATCAAGCCTGCAATCCAGGTACGTGGGTAAATGCCCAAGGGAATTGGAGGCACAATCCTGCTGGTTTGACTCAGTGGATGGGGTGTCTGCCTGTGGATTGAAGCGTTCCAGGTTCGATTCAGGTCAGGGGCATGTATCTTTTTTTTTTCTTTTTTTTAAATATATTTTATTGATTTTGTACAGAGGGGAAGGGAGAGAGATAGAGAGTTAGAAACATCGATGAGAGAGAGTCATCGATCAGCTGCCTCTTGCACACCCCCTACTGGAGATGTGCCCGCAACCAAGGTACATGCCCTTGACCGGAATCGAACCTGGGACCCTTCAGTCCCCAAGCCGACGCTCTATCCATTGAGCCAAACCGGTCCTGGCCAGGGGGCACGTATCTTGGTTGCGGGTTTATCCCCTTTGGGGAGTATGCAGAAGGCAGCTGATCGATGTTTTCAACTCTCTATCCCTCTCTTTTCCTCTCTGTAAAAAAATCAATAAAATATATTTTAAAAAGCAAAACAAAAAACGCAACCCTTTGGTGCATGGACCGGCACTCTAACAACTGAGTAACACAGGCCAGGGCTGTATGTTTAATTTTAAAAAATATATGTATAGTATTTTATTAATTTAAGAGAGGAAGGAAGAGGGAGAGAGATAGAAACATTAATGATGAGAGAGAATCATGTACCTCCTGCACATCCTACCCTGGGGATAGAACCCACAACCTAGACATATGCCTTGACTGGGAATTGAACTGTGACCTGATTCATAGGTGGATGCTCAACTACTGAGCCACGCCAGCTGGGTTGTATGTTTAATTTTTAAAGGAACTGCCTGTTTGTTTCTCAAAGTATCATATTTTACATTTTCCAAACCAGGGCATGTTTTTAAATTTTCTGAATTATACTTGTTTTTATTTTCTAGGCTTGTTTACAAATTGATCCTGCTGAGAGAATATCATCTGCTGATCTTTTGCATCATGAGTATTTTACTAGAGATGGATTTGTTGGAAAGTAAGCATTTTGAGTGAATGTGGACTTCTAAGTGTTTTATATTAGGAAATTTTACTAGCATGAAAATTACTACATAGGTTATTATTACACAACAGAAAAATTCAATTTAATGAAAACTTACTGAATTCCCATGCTGACTAGGTATATTGTAGACTTACAGGTGTCATAATAATAAAAATGATTGCAGTGCTCGCTTCAGCAGCACATACACTAAAATTGGAATAATACAGAGAAGATTAGCATGACCCCTGCACAAGGATGACACAAAATTCATGAAGCATTACAGATTTTTAAAAATATTTTAAAATAATATAATTGCAAGTGTTGGCAAGGTTGCAGAGAAAAAGGAACCCTCGTGCACTGCTGGTGGGAATGCAGACTGGTGCAACCACTGTGGAGAACAGTATGGAACTTCCTCAAAAAACTGAAAATGGAACTCCCATTTGACCCAGTAATCCCTCTCCTAGGAATATATCCCAAGAAACTAGAAACACCAATCAGAAAGGATATATGCACCCCTATGTTCATAGCAGCACAATTTATAATAGCTAGGATTTGGAAACAGCCTAGGTGCCATCAGCAGATGATTGGATCAAAAAACTATGGTACATCTACACAATGGAATATTATGCTGCCATAAAAAAGAAGGAATTCTCATCATTTGCAGCAACCTGGATGGAATTTGAGAACATCATGCTAAGTGAAATAAGCCAGTCAATGAAAGAGAAGCACCACATGACCTAACTAATTTATGGATAATAAAGAACACTATAATCTGATGAACCAAAAGATAGATATAGAGACAGTAAAGCAACAAGCAGACTGTCAAATTACAATGGAGAGGGTAGGGAGATCTGGGGAAGATAAGAGATCAACAGAAGGACTTGTATACATGCATATAAGTACAACCAATGGACACAAAACTCTGGGGAGGGAGGACATGTATGGGGGGTGGCAATGGTATATGTACACAGATAATAATTTAATAAAAAAATTGGGGGAAAATAAAAAAAATAATAATTGCAGTTAACATTAATTACACAGTTACTATATCCTAGGATGTGTGCTAAATTCTTCACAAACATTTGCAATGGTCATCATTGGCCAGAAATAACATTAAATAAATAATCAGTGATTTCTAATTTATTTTTTCTCATTTGGACCTCTGACTCAGAATAGTCAGTTTTTTCCTATTCTGCTACCATCTCTGATCTATACGTTAAAATTAAGATTATTATAACATAGAAAGTAAGAGCTTAGAAAATGTGTGGGTCGCCTAAACCAGTTTGGCTCAGTGGATAGAGCGTCGACCTTCGGACTGAAGGGTCCTAGGTTCGATTCCAGTCAAGGGCAGGTACCTTGGTTGTGGGCACATCCCCAGTGGGGGGGGTGTAAGAGACAGCTGATGGATGATTCTCTCTCATCGATGTTTCTAGCTCTCTATCCCTCTCTCTTCCTTTCTATAAAAAATCAATAAAATATATTAAATAAGTAAATAAATAAAATTAAGATTATAGCCCTGACTGGGAGAAGTTGATCTCCAGGCCAATTGACTGTGAGGACGAGCTGTGACTAAGGTGGGAAGGCTGTTGTATAGGAAACACTCCTATGGAGCAGGACTTGCTTCAATGGGGCTTTGGTACTCCCTGAGTCTGCCTCTTGAGTGTTGCTTGTGGATGTGCAAAGTTATACTGGTAATCTGCTGTGGCCTGAAGTTGCACTGGCTCTAGGGCCTCCTGGAACGTGCAATCAGACACTGCCTGGGGCCACCTGGAAGGAGCTACAAAGGGATCTTCAGATGGTTGCTATTTGCTATTTGTATTGAACTTGGAGGCCAAGGTGAGGTCCAGCTGTGAAGCAAGGCAGGCTGGTGCTAGTGCTGTTTCTTAGATCCTTTACTGCTAGGTTTGGGGCAAGCTGTCATCAGCTGCAGCTTTTTTGAGAGATTTTTAGCAAAATCTGAAGCCTGAGCCATACAGGCCATTCATATGGAAAAGCTGCTATAAAATAGGTTGGGTGGAGCTGCAAATTGGATGGGGCAGGGTCTCAGGGAATCCCCAGGGTGTGCTCCGGGCTAATGGAGAATCAGACATGGCTTCCAGTCAGCCCTGAAACAGGTAGGTCCCAGCACAGGAATGATGACCCCTGTGAGCAAATCCATCTGGGAGAAAGCCAACCCTGAGTTTCTGCCCAGATTCTAGGTAATCCAGTTCCTCCCCATATCTATCTGGGTCCCCCTGGCACTGGAGCTCAGAAGAAGCAGGACCAGGTAAGTTTGTGTTCAGGCCCTTTAAGGGGAACACCTGGGATTCCAATAGCCTCAGTCACAATCCCTACTGGTTTTTACTGGTTTTGGACACTTTCTTCCCAGCTCTGGAATGTTGAGCTGAGGGTCTGGTGTGGAGCTGGGATCCCTTGCTCCTCATGGATAGCCTCATGATTTAAAAAATGGCACATGTGGGTGTCCCACCAGCCTTTTCCCTGCCTCTGCCCCTCTTACTAGTCTCAATGTGCTTTCTTCTTTACATCTCTAGTTGTAGGACTTCTATTCAGTCAGCTTTCAGGCAGTTCTGAATGATACTTGTTCTGTATTTTAGTTGTAATTTTGATGTGCTTGTAGGAGGTGGCAAGTACAGGCAGTTACCTATATAGCCATCTTGGTTCTTGCTCTAAAAGTATTATATAGTAAATTCCCATGGTAAAATTGAAAGATGGGTCTTTATCAGGAAGAAATTTATATTAGGTAAATAAATATTGGGCTATTTTGGGCATGTATTTTTGATTACTTATTCTGTGGTTGAAATGTAAATGAATTGATTAAATGGTCTACTAAAGATAAAATTATCTACATAAATAACAAGGTTATTGGTTAATATTGCTTGTTTTATCAGATTCTTACCAGAACTAAGAGCTAAATTACTACAAGAAGCAAAAGTCAATTCATTCATAAAGTCAAAGGAGAATTCTAAAGAAAATGAACTTATGAAAGATGAAAGAAAAACAATGTATACTGATACACTTCTACGTACTTCACTTTTGGGAAAGGTAAAAATTTTTTAGTCAGTGACATAATTAAGCACACTAATAATAAAAATTACAGACTCAGATTTTGGATGTATCTATTCCAGGAAATGGAAAAAGAGAAAAAGCCCAAGGAAGTAAAAACCAGAGCTATTAAAGGCAAAGGAGGAAAAGTAGATACCTTAGAACCAAAAAAGACAGAGTATGAAAGTGGACATTGTCAATCAGATGCAATTGAAAATGCTCATACTGTGTCTCAAAATATAAAATCTGTAATCAATGAATCACCAAACCCTGCCAATCCCAGCACTAGCTCTATTGGCATGAAAGACAATCCACATGCTGGAAGTAATATGATGATGCCACCCATCAACCTAACTAGCAGTAACTTGATGGCTTCCCATCTCAATTTAAATCTCTCCCACTCCAATTCAAGGTGAGTTCTAACAAAAAAAGAGACAGAAGGAAATGGACCTAAGTAATATAATGTTCCTATATAATAGTATTTCAAAGAATCAGATTTATAGTATATGTAAACTGAATTTGAAGACCTATTGAAATTATAATCATACAATGGACCATGACTGGGTCCTTATAAATACTGTAGAAGAAATTAACTTTGCTGGGCTATACAGAAGTTTAATTTCTCACTAGTGCTTTTTTGGGAAAGCCTCAATTTTCCAACTAACAAACAAAAACTGAACAGAAAACACACACACACACACACACACACACAAAAAAAAAAAACCTTAAAAACATTTCTTCTCATTTGGAGAGAAAAAAAAGGTGATATGTCCTAAGTCCTGGTATTGACTTGCCTTGGTATAACAAAGTAAGCTTTATTTCTGTATTAGAGAGAATTCTCTAAATGGAGAGAGGATGGTTGAGAATAACCTTTTATAGTCAAATAGTCTTTCAAGGTCAAATATTTTGAAAGGAAACCAACAAATTGGGCTAGTTTTAGCTACTAGTACAGATTGAGAGAATGGTGCATCAGTCTGTTAATCAAGGGCAGCGTGAGGAATGACAGGGTCTGTCTAATTAGACACCAGGGCCAGTTCTAAATTTAGGGAAACGAGGTTCAATATCCCAAGCTGATCCTACCAGACTGGTTTGGGCTATACGCTGGAAAACTTAGTGCTCTGCAGAGGTGGGCAAGTGGACGTGACTAGGTGGATATATCTATGCCAGTCGAAAGGCTCAGCAGGTTACAGATAGCAAGAGCTCAGTTGTTCTTGAAGTGACCCAAAAAACTATTGCTGCAGTAACCATGGTTGTAAACCAGCTTTGGACAGCAAGTTCAGAAATTCAAAGATCCAGGTTCAGATCAGATAGAAGGGACCAAGTGGGCCAATTAGAATAACCCTACAATAGAGTTACCACTGATGATAGGCACAACTGAGTTGTTCTATTCTCTGTTTTTACCTCTCTAGTTAGAGCAATTGGCACTTACAGACTGACCATTATATTTTGGCACTCAGTGTTCTAACTAGACTTCCATGGTATAACTTATTCATTGTTGAATCTAAAACAGAAGCACTTCTGGGGAGTTCTAATAACTATTTACTTGTTTTTAAATAATAGGTTAACTGAAAGAGCAAAAAAGAGATATACTCCTTCACAATCTATTGGACACATTATGGCTAATAACAGGCAAGAGGATACAGGTCCCACTCAAGTAAGGCAAGAAACTAGTCATTAAATTATGGCCTCTTTCAACATTATTCCTCTAACTGGTTTCCTTGCCCTTTTCTCCATCTCTGGGGCACTAATATTTTTTTTTTAATGTACTTTTAGTTTCCTTTTTCCCCTCCTGAAATGAAAATAGGCCATCATTTCATTAGTGTCTTTACAATTTTAGTGAATATCTTTTAACTTGATTTGTGTATTCAGTGTGTTACTTGGAGGGTCTGTGTGTATTAAATTTTTCACCTTTAAAAATCACAAAACTTGTTTTAAAAATTTTATCTTTATTGTTGAAACTATTACAGATGTCTTCCTTTTCCCCCCCATTAACTCCCTGTACCCCACTCCCCACTTCACTGTCCTTCACCGTACTACTATCTGTATCCATGGATTGACTTTTTGTTTTGTTTTTCACTGCAAAAATGTTAGTAATACCTCCTCACTTTATAGACTAAAGCAATTGCCAAAATGTTACATTTTACTTTTTAGAAAAAAATAATCAGCGTTGTTCATTCCCTCATTTTTTTAACATAGGAAAGTATTATTCAAAAATTGAACCATAGTGTTTTTTATAATAAGAAATTGAAAACACAAATTCACCCAAGAGCAAGTGACTGGTTAAGTACATTACAGTGATCTACACAAGGGGATACTGTATATTACATCGTGGAAGATTGTTCATTAACCTAGGAAAGTTTTTCTTTTCCTTTTTATTAAAAAGTTTTTTAAAGGGTAGTCTTTTTAATATTTTTATTTATTGTGTATGAGAGAGAGAGAGAGAGAGAGAGAGAGAGAGAGAGAGAGAGAGAGAGAAAAGAAGAGAGAGAATGAAGAACATAAATTTGTTCCACTTATTTGTGCATTCATTGGTTGATTCTTTTTTTTAATATATTTTATTGATTTTTAACAGAGAAAAAGGGAGAGATAGAGAGCTAGAAACGTCGATGAGAGAGAAACATCGACCAGCTGCCTCTTGCACACCCCTACCGGGGATATGCCCGCAACCAAGGTACATGCCCTTGACCGGAATCGAACCTGGGACCTTTCAGTCCACAGACCGACGCTCTACCACTGAGCCAAACCGGCTTCGGCTATTGGTTGATTCTTGTATGTGTCCTGACCAGGGATCAAACCTGCCATCTTGGCGTCTTGAGATGACGCTCAAACCAACAGAGCTACCCAGCCACGGACTTTTATTTTTAAACTCAGTTGATCTACAATATTATATTAGCTTCAAGTGTATAACCTTGTGATTAGACATTTATCTAATACAAAGTGATCACCCCAATATATCCAGCATCCATCTGACAACATACATAGTACTATATTGTTGACTATATTCCCTATGTTGCACCCCACATCCCCGTGACCATTCCGCAACCACCAATTTGCATTTCTGAATCCCTTCATCTCTTGCACCCATTGCTTCAACTTCTCTTTCACCTGACAACCATCAAAGTGCTCCCTGCATCTATGAGTCTGCCTCTGTTCTGTTTGTCTATTTTGTTTTCTATATTCCACACATAAGCGAAATCATCTGGCATTGTCCTTCTGACTTATTTCACCTACCACAAAACCTTCTAGGTTCATCCATATTGTCACAGATACCAAGATTTCATTTTTTTTATGGCCAAATCATATTCCATTGTATATATGCACCACTTCTGTTTGTTTGTTTATTATTAATCCTTACCCGAAGAAATAGCACATAGATTGGTTGCCTTCCGCATGCACCCCGACCAGAGCTGGGAGTCGAGCCTGCAACTTAGGTGTGTGCCCCTGATCAGGAATCCAACCCATGACCCCTCAGTGCACAAACTTTGCGTTCTAACCACTGAGCAACAACAACCAGTATGCACCATTTCTTTTTGATCCACTCATCTATTGATGGACACTTAGATTGCTTCCATATTTTGGCTATTGTAAATCATGCTGCAATAAACATGAATGCTGCCAGGCATGCGTGGCTCAGTGGTTGAGTTTTGACCTATGAACCAGGAGGTCATGATTCAATTCGGGGTTAGGCACATGCCCAAGTTGTGGACTGGATCCCCAGTGTGGGGCGTGCAAGAGGCAGTTAATCATTCTTTCTTGTCATTGATGTTTCTATCTCTTCCTCTCCCTTCCTCTCTGAAATAAAAAAAATAAATATTTTTAAAAGTCTAGTAAAAAACAACAACATTTGAGTGTATATGTCTTTTTGATTTAGTGTTTTGGATTTTTTTTTTTTTTAATAAATACCCAGAGGTGGAGTTGCTGGGTCTTTGTATCTTGTTTTGGCTTTGTTTTAAAGTCTATTTTGTCTGTTATAAGTATTTGTACCCCAGCTTCTTTATTTTATTTCTATTTTCATGAAGACCCTTGAATATTTCATATAATACTGGCTTGGTGGTGATGAACTCCTTTAATTTTTCTTGTCTGGAAGCTCTTTATCTGTCCTTTGATTATAAATGATAGGTTTGCTAGGTAGAGTACTCTTTATTGTAGGTCATTGCTTTTCATCACTTTGGATATTTTGTGCCAATCACTTCTGGCCTGCAAAGTTTCTGTTGAGAACTTAGTTGACCATCCTATGGGAGCTCCCTTGTAGGTTACTAACTGCTGTTCTCTTGCTGCTTTTAAGATTCTTTCTTTGTCCTTAACCTTTGGCATTTTAGTTATTATGTATCTCGGTGTGGGCCTCTTGGGGTTCATCTTGTATGGGACTCTCTGCACTTCTTTTTTCTTTGCCAGGTTAGGGAAATTTTCCATCATCATGATACAAATGTTGGTGTGTTTGAAGTTGTCCCAAAGGCTCCTTACACTATCCTAATTTCTTTAGATTCTTTTTTCTTTTTACTATTCTGATTGGGTGTTTTCTGCTCACTCATATTTTAAGTCATTGATTTGATTCTCTGCTTCATCTACTCTACTGTTGATTCCCTGTTACTTATTCTTCATTTCAGTTAGTATCCTTAATTTCTGATTGGCTTTTTTTTATGGCTTTCATATTATTTTTTATGATGTTGAAGTTCTCACTAAGTTTCTTGAGTATCCTTATAACCATTGTTTTGAACTCTGTATTTGGTAGTTTGCTTGCCTCCATTTTATTTGGTTCTTTTTCTGGAGTTTTCTCCCGCTCTTTCATTTTGGACCTGTTTCTTTGTCTCCTTTTGGCTGCTTCCCTGTGTTTGGTTCTATGTATTAGGGAGAGCTTCCATGTCTCCTGGACTTGGTAGAGTGGCCTTGTTTGGTAGGTGTCCTGTAGAGCCCATTGGTGAAGTCTCCCCAGTCATCCAAGCTTAGCACTCCAGGCGCACCCCTGTGTGGGCTGTGTGCAATGTCCTATTGTAGTTGAGCCTTGATTGCTGTTGGCACATCATTGGAAGAGATTAACTCCCCGGGCCAATCAGCTTCTAGAACTAAGGGAAAAGGACTTGTTTCAGTAGGATTTGATGCCCATGAGTCTATCCCTTGAGTGTATCACTAATGAAGGTGGTTGGGTTGTAATCTGCTATGGTCTGAAGCTATCCGTTGGGTCAGCTACCACCTGTGCCCTATCTGGGGCCACCCGACATGAGCTATAGAGCAATCTGCCAATGGCTGTTATTTATGCTGGGCTTAGTGGTGCCCAGGAAAAGCCAAGCTATCATCCGAGGCTGGCTGCTACTAAGTCAGGAGTGGGGCCACTTAGCAAAGATATGGGGTACACAAAGGCCAGATGCTACTTGTGAGATTTTAGGAAAGTCTGAAATGTAAGGCAAGAGAGGCTGTTTGTATGGAAAAGCCACTGGAAACAATGTGGATGGGCCTACAAGCTGGGCAGAGTGGGGTTTCAGGGAATCACCAGGGCTGGGGAAACATGTTAGCTAGATTGATGGAGACTCAGATATGAAGTCGGCCTGCCAGCTCTTGAGGGGAATGAGCAGAGGAACAATGGCCTCTGCCAGCACTTGAGTCCGAGAGGAAGCTGCTCTGTCAGCCTTCACCCTAAAACCAGACAGTTCAGTTAACTTAGGAAAGTTTTTATCATCTGTTGTCAAGTGAGCAACATCAGAAAACATAAAAGGTTTTCCAAAATGCTGAGTTCACAAGTAGTTTACTTTCCTTTTGGGTTTTCCCAGTGTCCAGAGCACATTTTTAAATTGAAAAATAGTTTTTAAAAATAACAATATGTTTTTATTTATTTTAGAGAGAGAAGAGGAAGAGGGAGAAAAAGAGAAACATTGATCGGTTGCCTCCTATATGCACTCTTACTGGGGACTGAACCCACCACATGGGCATGTACCCTGCCTGGGAATTGAACCTGCTGTCTTTTGGTGCATGGGATGATGCTAACCAACTGAGCCACATTGGTGAGGGCTAGAAAAGTAAATTTTTAATAAAATGAACTGAAGCAATTTGTCCAAAGTCAGAGTACAATGAATAGGATTAAAAATTAAAAGTTAAGCCGAAACCGGTGTGGCTCAGTGGGTAGAGCGTAGGCCTGCGGACTGACGGGTCCCGGGTTCGATTCCGGTCAAGGGCATGTACCTTGGTTGTGGGCACATCCCCAGTCCGGGGTGTGCAGGAGGCAGCTGATCGATGATTCTCTCTCATCGATGTTTCTACAATAACTCTCTATCCCTCTCTCTTCTTCTCTATAAAAAAAATCAATAAAATATATTTTAAAAAATTTAAAAGTTAAGATTGTGGTTCTCATGGTCAAGACTATTATTCTCAGAATATTTAATATGCTAAAAACAATGATTGCTTTATGAAACTTTTATTGAACTTTAATCTTTTTATATATTTATTGGTATTCTCTTTTAGAAGACATTGTTATGCATACCTTATACCAGTGGTTGGCAAACTCATTAGTCAACAGAGCCAAATATCAACAGTACAACAATGGAAATTTCTTTTGAGAGCCAAATTTTTTAAACTTAAACTTCTTCTAACACCACTTCTTCCAAATAGACTCGCCCAGGCTGTGGTATTTTGAGGAAGAGCCACACTCAAGAGAACAAAGAGCCACATGTGCTCGTGAGCCGCAGTTTGCCAACCACAGCCTTATACCATCTGAATGCTAATAATTCTAGGCTTGTCATTGAATAGTTACACATTTTTCTTCAAATTAATTCTTGTTTATTTGTTTGTTTAGAGCCAAATGGAGAAAGGTATATTTAGTGAGCGGACAAGTCAAAGTGACCAAATGGCAAGTGGAAGTAAAAGGAAGCTGAATTTTTCCAGACCTGATCGGAAAGAGTTCCATTTCCCAAAATTGCCTTTCCTAATACAATCAAATGAAATGAAAAGAACAGAAGGTACATAACTGTTTCATAGCATTATAATCTCCCAATATTATCTTACACAAAACCTTTTTTGTAACATAACTTACATGTTATAATGTGATTTAGGTAGAAAATAGTAAATTGCTATGAAAAATATTTTCAGCAGATGAGTATTTCCCCTTCCCCTCCATCATCAAATAAGGGGTGAGATTAAAGGAAAAATTTTAAATGTTAAGAAAACTTTAAAAGTTAAATATTTCATTAGCTCAGTATTGTTGAAATGTTTAGAACAGTATTTGAAGAAGGTGGTTTTGGTTCTGTATATGTTTGGAACCAATCCATTTCCTATGTTTACCCATGATTATTTGCCCATATAATAGCAGGAATTATATATGAGCTTCAGGAATTCAAGGAATTAGTAGAATAAGATTTATAACAGGGCCCTAACCAGTTTGGCTCAGTGGATAGAGCATCGGCCTGCAGACTCCAGGGTCCCAGGTTTGATTCCGGTCAAGGGCATGTATCTTGGTTGCAGGTACATCCCCAGTAGGGAGTGTGCAGGAGGCAGCTGATCCATGTTTCTCTCTCATTATGTTTCTAACTCTCTATCCTTCTCCCTTCCTCTCTGTAAAAAAAAAAAAAAAAATTTTAAAGATTTATATCAGGTATTGATTTCTTAAAATGAAACTCATTTTTTGGCATAGTAAATGTTATATTATTTGAAGAACAGTGACACCTTGTGAAAACTTAATCTAATAGCATGAATATAGTACTTGTATAGTTCAAGAGGAATTATCCGATCCACTTAACAGTTATACTTAGAATTTTTAAAAATACTTATCTTCTTTTTTAAAAATATATATTTCTATTGATTTCAGAGAGGAAGGGAGAGGGGAGAGAGAGAGAAACATCCATTGGGTTGCTTTAAACTCGGGTGACAAGCCCATAACCCAGGCATGTATCCTTGACCGGAATCGATCCTGGGACTCTTCAGTCCACAGGTTGATGCTCTATCCACTGATCCAAACATGTCTTCTTTTAATGACATATTATTTGTAAAGTTATAAAACAAATAATTTATAATTGGTGCATTTTACCATTACAACTCATAATTTGTTCAGTTCTTTCATAATAAAGTGAGGACTTGACCTAAGTGGCCATCAGAATTTCCATTTGAAACTCTTAAAAAAGAAAGTAAAATTTTAATGTAAGAATAATAAGTTGTTATTGTATATATTTTTGCAAAAGTTAAACAGATAAAAGTGCCAAAAAGGGAATCAAAGAAAACAGATTCATCTAAAATACCAACTTTACTTAATATGGACCAAAATCAAGAAAAACAAGAGGTAAAACATTTTTTGTTTATAGCTTTAACTAAGGAATGCTGTTTAGAATCCTTGACTTGGTGTGTAAACTTAGTTATTATCATTGTAAAGTTATGTAAAAATTAAACATTCTGTATTCTTTGAATTTGAGAAACCGATATATATATATATATATATATATATATATATATATATATATATATATATAATTTTTTTCAGAATAACTACTTACTAAAGGTTTTATAACTTTCTTGGGGGGAGAGTAGTGAATACCAGCTTTTACTTGAATGTTGAAGTGATTAGAATGTTGTACTCAGGGAAAGGACTGAGTTATGTGTATTACCAAGCATTGGGCAAGTAACCTATGCCAGAGGAAATGAATAATGATATAAACTTATGGCTATACTGGCCACAAGAACAGATTTGTCTTGAGCCTCTTCCCGTTCCCCCTACCCCCTCCAATTTGTTCCAGAATATCTTCTGTCTACCTGCTATCCTATTTTCACAAATATTTGCTCTTAGCTAGCTATCAGATAATCTTGTTGAAATGTCTCAGCCCCAACCCACCAGAGAGAGTCTTGAATTTTATTTGGAAATTTGAAGCCCTAAACACCCAAATGAATACTATCTAAAAGTATTCTTTTAAAAGAAGGGGATTGTGCAGAGCACCCATGAATTAAATCACAGTTAGCCTTCTATTTTCGTGAGATCAGCAACTTTGTTATCTCAGTTTCTTATTTTTAAAATAAAATTGATTACATTTTTTAAAACAATGGTTCACTGATTTTTAGAAAGAGGAAGGGAGAAGGAAAGAAAGAAACATTGTTGTGAGAGGGTTGCCTCCTGGATGCCCCCTACCTGGGATCAAGGCCCCAACTCATGCTCTGACTGGGAACCAGCAACCTTTCAGTGCATGGGACAACACCCAACCAACTGAGCCACACAGACCAGAGCTTGATTACATTTTTATTCGTGATAAAATTAGCACAAACCTATAAAGGAAATTTGAGTAAATTAGAAAAATGAAGAAACTCTGATCTGAAACTACTTACGGTATTTTAACTAAGTCTACAACATTCATTCAGATACTGGTAGGCATATTTTTTGTGACATTTATTAGTGTACTTTATTCTTGGTCTAAAACTTGTTAAGAACGCTCAGTTTATTTTGCAGAGTGGAGAAATTTTCTAGACAGAACATGAAACCCATTAGTGATCATCTTTTAGTTAATTTAAAAAGTAATAGGGTTGCTTTAAACGGGTGATTTGATGTTGACCAGCACACCATTTGCACATACGGTATTCTGAATGATTGATGAGTTAGAGCTCCTGAGTTTGGGCATGTTAGTAATGTGCTATTATTTATTTATTCCACTGACCTCTGGAACTACAATTACATGCCAATGCAAAAAGAAAAGAACTCTTAAGATAGTTTTGTAATTTTAAAATATAAAAGTAAATAGGAAGGGAAAATTCCTTCTTGCTCATAAGGTATAGAACTTCTAAAAATATGGCATTTTAAAGAATGACCTTGAAACAGTTGTAGTTCTTAGAAATAATTACCAAATAAATAAATAACCAGAAGTTACCAATGGTGGTTGTATTTTATTTGTATTGCTCATTCAAATACAATTTTGACAAGTGACTGAAATTGCATGTAAGTCTATTTCAGACACTTATAATAAATTAATGTCAGAACTGAAAATATTTCCTAAATTTGAGTTGGTAGTTTGTTAGTTTAGAGCAAAAAACAATATTACATGTCTTTAAAAATGTAAGAGGTATTAGCAACTTATTTGTTTTATTCTTGGCTCTGTCATTGATTTGTTTTTGAATTACCTAATCAGATCCAGACACTTCCCAGTTGTACATTAAACTATTTTAGGCATCTTAAATTAATATTGAAATAGCACATGCATGCATTGAATAGACTCTATGATCTAGGCAGTGTTTCCCAAATTTTTAACATATGTGTACCCCTTCTATAATTTTCATAACGCTGAGTACCCCTCGTATTCATGAGAACGTAGAATTAGGTACAGCTAAGCACAGTGCAGTGCATATCCCCACCAAACTCTGGTGCAACACATACCCCCACCAAACTCTTCCTGTACCCCTGGGGGTACGCTTACCACACTTTGGGAAACACTGATCTAGAGAGAAAACCTTAAATTACTGCTAAAGAGTGTATTAGGAAGAGAGAGAAGTGCCCATACAAAAACTATCTTCAACTCTGTTTCATGATGATAATGAAGAATACTTTGCTAGATAGTCTCCCTGCACCTCATGAAACAGCCTCCAGGTGCAAAGAACAAGTACTTATGTGTGGCTATGCGTATTTCTCACCATTTCCTCAATTAAGGTCCTTGTTTCTATTTACTTTTCAGAATACAGGAAATGCACAAACTGAAAAGAAGAAGAATCTGCCAGATGTAGAGTAAAAAATGCAGCAGCTGAAAATTCAGGGAATCCCAGAATCACTGTATGGTTTTTTAAAAATACTTTTTTAAATATTACATGCAAAAATGCTACTAGATAATTCTACAAATATATAAATTCTGTGTAGTTATATGTATATTCACCTAAATTTGTTTTTAATTTTATTAATCTTTAAATTATTTATGTCTTCTTAATTGAACATTAATTTATATATATATACATATATAAAACTGCCTGACTGGTACATCATAATAAAACAACAGCTTATATTAAGTCATATAATTTATTTTATTTATTTTTATTTTTTAATGTTTTTATTTATTTTAGAGAGAGAAGAAGGGAGAGGGAGAGAAAAATAGAAACATTGATGAGAGAGAAACATTGATTGGCTGCCTCCTGCACCACCACCACCACCATCCCACCCTACCCCCGCCCCAATTGGGGATCAAGCCCAAATCCTGAAACCGAATCATGTGCCCTGACTGTGAGTTGAACCAGTGACCTCTTGGTGCATGGGATGATGCTCAATCCATTGAGCAACACTGGCGGGGCAAGTCATATAATTTTGATGATAGATTATCTCAGTCATGTTTGATTATTGGTCATTCTTAACTTGGGCTCAAAACTTTGTAATTACAGAAGGGAAAAAAATTATAATGTATAATAAAATAAGATTCCAATGTCTGGAAGCACCAGATATTTCTGAGCAAACAAATATATTTGATAAGAATGAAACATGGGTTTGATTCTACGCTGAACATTCTGGAACAGCATTTAAAGATATCATCAAGGTTGTATTTAATAAGGATGGAAATTGAGCAAAGCATTGGAGCAAATCTTTTGGCTTGACCAGCATGTCTATCATTTAGTAGTTTAATAGACTATGTTGTTACATATAATTTAACATTAATAGGCAAAGTTTTGGCAATATATGTTTACATTCTTATCTCTGGTTCTTACTGGCTTGGTTTCTAATTTTAGGGTGGAGATGGCCATTGTTTGGAGGCGAATTTGAAGAGGAGCAGATTTTTTTTGGGTAGCATCTTTTAAATCTTAAAATCCAAATTGGCAAGTCTTCCCTTTTTATTTTATATACAATAGAAATGTAACAAGCTGTAAGTAAGCCATTTTTCTGCATTAGCATCATCCAACTTCATTTTGGTAGCAAACCATTCACTGTTTTCATCTTTCTTCTAAGAATTCTGTTGATATGATGCTCTGATTTGGAATTAAAGTCATCTGTCTTCCTGCCTCTTTACTTGCCATGATTACTGAGTAGGTAACACATCCTGTCATATGACACATCCTGTCATAAGCACCAAGAGGTCACTTACACTGATCTCTGCCCTCTGCTAGTCACATAATGTTAAATGTCAATTATTCCCTAGGATGCGTTATATGGTATTTAAATGTTAAATTCTTTTATCCTTTTAAACAACTATCAGCACTCTCAGTTTTCTAGTTCCATCAGATAGTGCTTTTTATGTCTAATAAAACTTTTTCTATCTAATAAAACCCAATTATATTCAACTCAAAAGAAAAATAGTGCCAAAATTCTCAATTGTCCTAATCTTAAAAAAACAAAAAAACAAAAAAATGGGATTATTTGGTGTTTTGCCAGAATGCTACCTAACTTTTTACTTACTAAAAGTAGACATGAAAAACAAAGGAAAGCATAATTTTATTATAATATTATAATCTCTTTTTAATTAATTTTATTAAATTTTTATTTATTTTAGAGAGAGAGAAACATGAATTTGTTATTCTACTTTATTTTTAATTATTTTTTACTTTTTGTTAATCCTCACCTGAGGATATTTTTCTTTTGATTTTTAGAGAGTGGAAGAGAGGAGGAGAGACAGAGAATGAATGAAACATCAAATATTTGGGCTCAGTTCTTAGTCCTATTCTGTTTCTATCTATACTCCTTTGGTGAGCTTATCCAGATACATGGTCTTAAATACCTTTTATAATTTTTTTATTTTTATTTTTAGAGAGAGGGGGAGGTAGAAACATTGATGAGAGAGAAATATCATTGATTGGCTGCTTCCTACACACCCACTACTGGAGATTGAACTCAAAACCCAGGCATGTGCCTTGACTAGGAATCAAACCAGTGACCTCTTGGTTTATAGGTTGATGTTCAACCACTGAGCCACACAAGCCAGGTTTAAATACCATTTATATACTGACTAGAGGTCCGGTGCACAAAAATTCATGCACTGGGGGGAAATCCCCCAGCCCGGCCTGCCCCCTCTCACAGTCCGGGAGCCCTCAGGAGATGTCCCCCTCTGCAATAGGCAACTGGACCCATTAGGAGAAGGTGCCATCCCCATCACCCCGCTACTGCTGCCACTACCGCCCACTGTGGCTGCTGGTTCTTCTTGGCCCTCACAGCCGCTTCAGCTTTGTTTGGAAGGACGTCCAGAAGACGTCTGGTCTATCCAGTCTAATTAGCATATTACCCTTTTATTAGTATAAATAACTTTCAATTCTCTGTCTCTAGACTTGACCCCTACACTCCAGACTTAGATTTCCATTTGTCCATTCGCCAGCTCCACTAAAATATATAAGTATCTCAAACCTAACATGTCCAAAATTAAGGTACTAATCTCTTAGTTCTGCCTGTGTTTTCCCTATCTTAGTTAAGGGCAACTCCATTCTCCCTATTGCTCAGGAGAAAACCTTGTAATAATCCATGACTTTTCTCTTTCTCTCATGCTCCATATCGTTTCAACTCTACCCTCAGAGTATTTCCAGGATTTGACTACTTTTCACCCTCCTGCTATTCACAACATTTCTTGTTTATATTTTATAATAGTATCTTAACTGATCTCTTTGGTTATACCCTTGTTTAACCTTCCTTCTTTTGCCTGGGTGTTTTGTTTATATACATTCTTACTGATTTTCGGAGTGAGAAGAAGAGAGAGGAAGAGAGAAAAACATTGACGTGAGAGGGAAACATTGATTAACTGCTTCCCACACACACCCCCACCGGGGATTGAACCCACAACCCAACATGTGACCTGGCCAGGAATCGAACTGTCCACACTGGCCAGAGCCTGGGTGTTCTTAACAAAGTTTAAATCAGACTATGTCACTGCTGTGCTCAAAACCCCCAATGCTTCTCATTTCACTCAGAGCAGAAGCCACAGACATTACAGTAGCCTATGTGGCCCTTACACAGTATGCCTCTGGCACAGTTTAACCTGATTTTCTGCTTTCTCCCAATTGCTCATTCTGTTCCAGGCCCACTGACCTCTGCTGTTCCTAGCTATGCTCCTGCCTTAAAAACCTTAGTTTTTGCTATTTCCTCTGCTTAGAAATTTCTCCCCAGGTGACTGCATGATTGATTCCCTCCTTCCTGTTGTTCATGACAACCTCTTTACTGGTTTTTACTCATATATGAAGACTTTTCTACCACTTTTACCTAAGGTTACAACTTTCCCAGTTCTTAATCTCCTTTTACTTTTTCATATAATATTTCCCTAGCAAACTATGTATTTTACTTATTTTGTTTATTAATGGTTTTCCTCCATGAAAATGGGAACCACCTGAAGGTGAGGATTTAGAGTTTTTGTTTGCTGCTGTATTCCCCATGCCTAGAACAGTGCCTACCATTTATTGGCACTCAATAACTTTTGTTTTGTTAATGAACAAATGAATTTATTAAGCACCTTATATAGTAATCACTTGAAAAATATGAGATGATTTTATTGGTAGAAAAGCTCTCTATAACAAGCTATTATTCATTGTTCAAGGACTAAGTAGCAGTGATCCGGCATGGAGTTTAAAGGTGAAGGAGATCAGCTGAGCTTATAGTTATTATTATTTTTTTTATTGTTTAAAGTATTATATATATATTAGTACATATATCTCCACACCCCCCCCACTGACCTTCCCTCAGCCTCTCTACCCCCTGTTGCATGCCCTCATCCCACCCCCCTAGTGTCTTGTGTCCATTGGTTGGGCTAATATGCATGCATACAAGTCCTTTGGTTGGTCTCTTCCCCACTTCCCCAACACTCCCCAGTCCTCCTGCTGTAATTTGACAATCTGTTTGGCACTTTCTGCCTCTGCATCTGTCTTTTTGTTCATCAGGATATAATGTTCTTTATTTTCCATAAATGAGTGAGATCATGTAAGTGAGATCACTGAACATAATGCTCTCCAGATCCATCCATGCTGCTGCAAATGGTAAGAATTCCTTCTTTTTTATAGCAGCGTAGTATTCCATTGTATAGATGTATTATGGTTTTCCAATCCATTCATCTCCAAGAAATATTTACATTACTGCTAATGGGCATTTAGGCTGTTTCCAAATCTTAGCTATGATCAATTGTGCTGCTATGAACATAGGGGTGCATATATCCTTTCTTATTGGTGTTTCTATTATAGTTTCTTGGGATATATCCTAGAAGTGGGATTACTGGGTCAAATGGGAGTTCCATTTTTAGGTTTTTGAGGAAGTTACATACTGGTCTTCTCATTGGCTGCACCAGAATGCATTCCCACCAGCAGTGCATGAGGGTTCCCTTTTCTCCGCATCCTTGCCAGCACTTGTCGTTTGTAGATTTGTTGATGCTTGCCATTCTGACAGGTGTGAGATGATACCACATTGTTGTTTTGATTTACACCTCTCAGATAATTAGTGTGACTTTGAGCATGTTTTCATATATCTATTGGCCTTCCTTCTGTCTTCTTTTGAAAAGATTCTATTTAGGTCTGTTGCCCTTTTTTTTTTTTACTGGATCATTTATCTTTTTTTTTTATTAAGTTGATAAATTCCCTGTAGATGTTGGAGATTAAACCTTTATCAGTGATAACATTTGCAAATATGTTCTCCCATATAGGCTTTCTTGTTTGGTTTCTTTTGCTGTACAAAAGCTTTTTATTTTGATGTAGTCCCATTTGTTTATTTTCTCTTTAGTTTTCATTGCTCTAGGAGTGGTATCAGTGAAGAAATTGTTTCGGCATATGTCTGAGATTTCTCTCCCTGTGGATTCCTCCAGTATTTTTATGGGTTCCCATCTTATGTATAAGTCCTGTATCCATTTTGAGTTTATTTTTGTGTATGATATAAGTTGGTGGTCTAGTTTCATTTTTTTGCATGCATCTGTCCAATTTCCCCAACACTATTTATTGAAGAGATTGTCTTGACTCCATTGTATGTTCATACCTCCTTTGTCAAATATTAATTGAGCACAGTGGTTTGGGTCGATTTCTGGGTTCTCCAGTTTGTTAACATTTTAATGAAGGAATTGAAACTTAATTACAGAAAGATAACAGAAGAATGCCTGTTAGGAACAGAATTCCATGGAATATCATATAATTTAGAAAAATTGGTTTTCAGAAAGTAAAAAAGAGAAAGAAGACAAGAAAATTCAGATAAGCAAGTGAAAGAGTAAATAAGAAATATTGCTCTGCAAAATGAGTTACAGTATGTGAGTCAGATTTTCTCTTCTCCCCCTACAGTCACCACATTCCTGTTTTTTAGCCACTGTGTTTCAGGGAACTAGGAAAGTCTTAAATTAATACACTTAATACTTGCTGTAGAGTGGAACATTGTGGTAAGTACTCTGTGTTATATAGGTCTCTCAATTAGCTCTTGGCTTAGAATAAGTAAAATGATTTCTTTGCTTAGTTAAATAGATATATAACAGTATTAAAAGAATAAATGAACCTGTGAAATGAACTTTGCCTGAGATTGACTTTCTTTTTAAAAAATATATATATTTTATTGATTTTTTACAGAGAGGAAGGGAGAGAAATAGAGAGCTAGAAACGTCGATGAGAGAGAAACATCGACCAGCTGCCTCTTGCACACTCCCTACCGGGGATATGCCTGTAACCAATGTACATGCCCTTGACCAGAATTGAACCTGGGACCTTTCAGTCCGCAGACTGACGCTCTACCGCTGAGCCAAATCGGTTTCGGCCTGAGAATGACTTTCAAGCTGACTTTAAGGTTCTTGCTATTACAAATTAGCTTTCATTTAATGCATAGCGGTATATAGATTGCAGGTATCCAGTGGTTATTACATAGTTTA